ATCATCTGCATATGTGAACATGTGCATTAGGATCATTAGCAACGATACTGTGGACATAAAGTGTAAATAACCGTTGTCCCAAGAATGAGCCCTGTGGTACACCATTCATTATTTTACCCTTTAATTTTTTTTCCCTAAAAACAGAAACAGTTTATCATCATGTTCTGTCCAGTTACAGGACAATGCATCCCCTCCCACTTTCTGTACAGGCCCACACACACACACACACACACACACACACACACACACACACACACACACACACACACACACTCTTAAGTCTGTCAGAAAAGTGTTTTTTTCTTCCCGTCAGAAAAACTGACCTTTTCTGCTGACGTGTGGCGTCTGTCCGACAACGGCGATAAACGCTAAGGGATTAGCTCGTAGCCTGAATTTGCTTGTAAACCAGGAGAGGATGGCGGGAGACAGATCCCAGACCTCCCTGCACTGTTTCTGCTTAACGAGGAACTTCTCAACTCCCTGAAACAGACGTAGAAACGTTCTCACACACATCATCAGACCCTTAAGTGTGTTTCCAGGGTGTTCATTGGTCCTTAAAAAAGGACATTAATTGTTCATAAAAACCTCCACAAACTGCTTTAACATCTGCACTAACTCACGGATCTAATGCACAAACATTTAAATGTCACAGTGTTGTGTTGTCCTGCTCGTATCGTCACATCCAGGATTTCTCTTTACCAGTTTATACGCAGCAGCTGCAGAACAGAAAGCATCGAGAGCCAAACACAGTAAAACTCATCGTTTATATCTGACATGTTGGAAACTTTCATTTCAAATCCTTTTTGTGTTTCAATCTGTGGAGTCAGAGGCGCTGTTTGTCTGAAGGCAAGGCGGGCAACTGCTCTGTGCCCCAGACCCCTGAGGGCTCACAAAATTAAACCAAAGCAGTGGCTTCAAATGTGCAAAATTTTGCAAGGACAGTAGGAAACCTCCCTAAGGGGGCCTCAGCTGACAGCCCTCACTGTGGCTGACCTGCTAGGCATTGAAGTTTATGAATGAAAGTAAACACAGAGAAATGAAGATGAATTATCCATCTATATAGGAGAGGAAAAAGAAACAGGTAAAAAGAGGAGAAAGCGTCGGGACACTGGCAGGAAAAATGGAGATGAACGCTGGTTGGAGGGCTCCCAAATTAATTTTACTCTAGAATCACCACTCTGTGAAGTGAAAATGTGGATCACTGTTACTTCCTCAAAAAACAGAACAAAGGGGGAGCACTTTGTCCCCCTGCCCACCCCCCTGTACGCCTCAGAGAGAGACAGAGAGGGGCAAAACTGTAATCAGCTGTTTCCACATCCCTCTCCTCTGTGGGTTTCGAGTGAATTTTGGTAAATGGACTTGAGCTTGTATCTTTCTTTTCATCCATTCATACACATCCTCACACACCACAGCGGCCGTGGGTTCGAATCTGACCCTGACATCCCCCACTCTCTCTATCTTCCCAACGTTTCCGGTCTCTCTTCAGCTGTCCGGTCCAATAATGGCAAAACTGCCCCAAAAAAAAGAAAGTATCATCGTTGATCAGTCATCAGCCTTCCCTAATCTCAGCCTCACCCCGCCTATGTGGATCAGTTTACATGTGGAGCTAAAGCAAAGAACATGAATCGGTTTTAACAAAGATGTGATTTAAACAAAGGACTGACGGCTGACGGGTCGTGATCCCGACAGGTTCAGGTCCTCATACTTCCTGGTGAGATGATCGTGGTGGAAACAGGCTGCTAGTGTCTCTGTTGTGTGACTCAGACAGCTGGATATCACCTCTCCCCCTCCTCCCCCTGTCAGCCTCTCAGAGCCAGACCTGCCGACTGCAGGGGGCTTTAACCTCGGGGACGCCGGGCCCCCCCTCCCGTCTACACCCGGGTCTTCATTGGGACGCCGCTCAGACGATCCGAGGACATAATTCCCTGCAGGTCGTTGCTACGTCAGCTCCGTCATCAGCTCCATGTCTGTGAGGAAAAGTCTTTTCTTTAATGTGTGGAGGACATTAGTCATTGTGAAAACATTATCTAACGAGGATCTCTCCTGCTGTGTGATTGAAGCGTCTGGGACACTTAGAGGGGCTTCACTCTGGATTGTCTCAGTGGTTAAAACACTTTAAAGCTCTGCTTTTAAACCTGAAGAAGAAGAAGATTGTTTCAGTTTAAATCTTAAATATGATTCTTTCTCCTCGTTACATTTTGTCTTTGTATATTCTTCATCTCTCCGCCCGGTCGCTCTCAGCATGCCACAGCTTTAACTCTGACTTGATTGATTTGGGTACTCTTCACCCTCAGCCTGGAATCTGTTGCAGAATGACTTAAAGCTCAAGGAGCTGGTGTCCTTAAATGTTTTTAAATCTAAAATGAAAGACAAAGAAGCAGATTCTATAGGATGTCGATGTTTTAGCTCGGCTGTTTGAACAACTGATTCCCTGATATGACTCATAGATGGTTCTATTTTAATCTACAATGTTGTGCTTTGTAAATTGTACTTTGTCTCTCTTTGTATTTCTGTCTGAAACTTTGTGTTTTTGCTGCTGCCTGTCTCGGCCAGGTCTCCCTTGAAAAAGAGGTTTTTAATCTCAATGGGACCAACCTGGTTAAATAAATAAAATAAAATAAAATGTTGGTTCCATTTGTTCACATGGAAATCATAGCAAGGATGACTTTTTACCAAATGGCTTAAAAGACGTTTATACAGGTCTCTCCCCCCCCCCCCCCCTCGCACTCACACTGCTCTAGGACTAACCGGGCCTTAGTTTACAAGAGGAGCGGTCTCAGAGTCAGCACTACAGAGAAGAACATATAGAACATGATGACAACTTTTACTGACTTGTTGGTTCATTTGGAGTCATAAGTCGGATACGACCTCTAACACGCCGAGGCTGCGACTTTCAGATAGTCAGGCCGCTTGTGTGTGTGTGTGTGTGTGTGTGTGTGTGTGTGTGTGTGTGTGTGTGTGTGTGTGTGTGGGGGGGGGGTCTGTACAGGTCATCCCCTCGCTCTCTCTGTTGCCATCTAGTGGATAAAATGACAAAAATATCACCTCCCAAACACTTTTCTCTTTATGCTCTCTCTCTCTCCCTCTCACACACTCACACACACACACACACACACAGACTAAGCTGCTCTTTCAATCACACAGTCTCTTTATCTTTTTTCTATAAACAAACCAAGTTTCTCATCCACACACATACTTTCTCTCTTCAGCTCTAAAACACATACTCATCTTGACTTTGTGACACACACACACACCAGCGTGCTGCGTCTGACACTCGGTTAAAAGCTGCTGGGTGGGTCCTAATTATTTCTTTGAAGACTCGCTTTTCCTCCCGTCTGAGCTTCTGACGAGCTGCACTTAAAAGAGGCTAGACACACACACACACACACACACACACACACACACACACACACAGTGTCATGCAGTCTTTCTCATCTGTCATGTTAGACTTTAATCTCCAGGTGGATGATTTATGGGGCAGAATGCTGAAACGTGGAGGAGATAATATCCAGGAGACTTCTGTGTTATTTGTAAAGAAATCCAAAAGGAGACATTTTTGTTTTCAGTTCTGCTTTTGATTTGCATATTGTCTCCTCTTCTGATGGAAAGCTTTCACTGAAATTTAAAACAACTGACAGACTCTTGACAACTGTGTTTTCACATATGTACAAAAACACCTGAAAAACATCCTGACATTTTCAGGTTGAGCTTCGTGTGTGAACACAAACAGCCGAATGTCTCACTCCGACTTTATCCTGCCGGCCTCTAAGTACATGTTCCACATGAAGTCCGAATGTGAGAAAGCAGCAGGATATATTCAGAAAGGTCACCCCAAGCGAGCGGGGCGATGACTTTTATATCCCGTAACTGGAGCACGAGCTCCAGGATGTTGATCAGTGTCCCTTGATGTTCCCTCAGACCAGTGTTTGGGAACCATGGCCCCTTAAAGAGCCCTTAAAGGGTCTTCGACCGCACTTTGACAACCACCACTTGGTTCATTTGCATACAGAATATCACAAGTTTAGGAAAACAATGTCTGACACATATATCCCACCTGTACCGATGTCCAACCATTGCTAACGTTCAACACATGCTGCCCATGTTTAACTTCCATTAATTAAAAACAAGAAATGAAACAATGGCTGCCTTGGACTTTTATTTAAGTAGCCGGGAAATCAAACAGGTATAGATATTCACAATCAAATCAAAGTTTAAAATTCTGCTATCAATAATAAGGGCCCCTTCCTCTTTTGGGACCCTGGGTACTCAACTCTTTAAATCGACACTGAGAGACAAACTCGGAATCAGAAAAGATAATCTTTCTTTAAGTCCGTCCTTTCTGGAATATTCTGTCTGATTTTCCTCTTAAGTTTGGCCGAGCTGCAGGAGAAGAGGATGTGGTTCTTTTTAATTCTCATTGTAAAGCAGGAACAGTAAAGTCAAAACTCTGAGAGTCTGAAGGAGACACGCTGCACTTGATTCCTTGTTGTGTCCATTCTTTTTCTTCGTCTTTGTTTTTCTTCTTCAGCTCTTCACATGAACAGCAGAGACATAAAGCACATGTAGCTCCCCTGGTTGGTTGGTAATGAAACTGGATCCCCATATACACACACACACACACACACACACACACACACACACACACACACACACACACACACAGTTTACAGCACACAGGGGATCCACAGCAGACAGACAGACAGGGGCAGATAGGAGCTCAGAGACTGATGATTAAAACCTTTAAATAACAAAAGGAGCTCTGAGAGGAGTCTGCAGGAGACCAGGGGCACAGAGGGTCCGGTCTGGAGGCAGGAGGAGGTCCCGGTGTTCACAGAGGAGGCAGGACTTTCTGGCTCTGCGGTGCGCTCTGACACCACAGGTCCGCTTTAATACGAGAGAGGGAGGAGAGGAGGCCGGTTTACTCTGCTCAGAGAGAGAGAGAGAGAGAGAGAGAGTGTGTGCAGTCCACTGCTGCGTCCCGGACAGTCTGCATCGAGCATCCATGCGCCACACGGAATCCTGGATTCAGAGCGCAGACTCTCTACTCCTGGAAGAACTTCACAAACTGAGAGGATTCAGAGTTTTAACATTTAGCTCTAGAAGTCAGCGGGGTTTGTTTTCCTGTTCTGCCGGATCGGAGCGGAGTCCCTCCTCAAACCTCAGAACCATCCTGTGCTCCTGTCCGGATCCTCTCCTGTGCAGGATGAGGGACTGAATCAATGTCTGACTTTCACCCCGGCGCTCCTGACATGAGCAGCCGCGCAGTCTGCAGCCTCTAGGCGCGTCTTTGTCATTTTAATGCCGCTGTGATCTCTGCCTGATTGTCGCTTTGCATTTCAGCGCAAGCGATCAATCTGAAGAGTTGTTTCTCTTCTGGCTGGAATTTAAATACGAGGAACTCTGAGCGTGGATCTTATTGGATTGTTTGTATTTATTTGCCTTCATTATCGCCGGACTCCGAGCCTTTCTCCTGAGGATGTTGCTCCGCTGCTCGAGCCCTCCCTCCTGGTCCACCTGTAGGTTTTTCTTCTGCTTACTGCTGCTGCTCCTGACGCCCCGGTCCTCCTCTCCGTTAATCACAGGTAAGATTAAAGGGACCCACAAGGCTCCTTAATGACACATCACTGCTCCCACCGCGCGTAAAATGTGCCCAAACCCTGGTTATTTAGTCCGCGTCTCCTCCGCGCTCCTTCACTCTGTGTTTCACTCCGAGACTCAAAGTCACTTTAGATTTTTATATTTCTGGTTTCCAGTGAAGAGGAGGCGAAGACAAGCTTCAATTAAATGTTTAATAATATACAGTACATATTACAAACACACAACAGTCTGTTACAATAATAATAATAATAATAATATTAATGATAAAACTTCGAGGCTGATCAGAAGGAAACAAAAAAACTTAAAAAATATATATTTTTCTGTCAAAGATTTTGCACCGCCACATCTTTTACTTTTAGTTTTTTAAATAGGAAAAAACTTCAATTAAAATGTCAGAGATTTGCCTCTTTGGTGGTTTTTATAAAACGTTTTAATTTGAAGCTGCTGAAAATAGAGCCGGTCTTCAGTTATCCTCCGTGCGAGGCTTCCTCCGGGAGAGAAACGCCACAAACATCCACCCTGTGCTGCTGCTTATTTAAAGCAGAACTTGTACTCATATATGAGTCTGCTTCAGATAAATCACAGAGACTCGTCCTGTCCTCAAAGTCATTTAAATCAAGTTTCAGGACATTAAACCGGGAAATAAAACTTTAAAAAGAAGTTATTCGCGCTGGATGAAAAGCGATCTCTTCTTAAATGGATGTTTTCGCCTCTCTAACGTGTAATTAACGCACTTTTTAAAGTTAAAAACAGGCTGTAAAGTGTGAACCACTTTCCTCCAGCAGCTCCCCCCCCCCCTCTCTCTCTCTGGTTCTTCATGAACTTTCTTTTCTCTGACAGCAGCATCGCAGGATTTAGTGTCTTCGCCCTGCAGCGATGCAGAGAAATAAGAATAATAGAAGATGGAATGAATGAAAGGTGGATGTAGAGGTGGAGGTGCAAACAGGCAGAGGCCGGGCTGCCCTGCGAGCTGCCCCGTGAACATGCACCCTATGCTCGGGCTGAGGGACGTGACCGGCCTGCCTCCTCCTCCTCCTCCTCCTCCTGCTCGGGTGGATTATTTGATTACGTTATTTATCCAGTTTCTCTGCGTTCACGGGGTCATTGGGAGGATTTCCTGACGACAGTAGCTGATCATGATAATTTCATTTAGAAACGGAGGAACTGTCTGATAACGCTGATTCAGAACAGAGCTCCCTCTCTCTCCTCCATGACGGTGAAGTCAGGAATCACTTGGTGCACCTCCGCTCTCCTCCTGATTCCTGATAATCAGAGGTTCCCCTGTCCGGACTTTATCTCTGCTCCTGAAGCAAAAGCTCAGAGCTGGGGCTCAGAGGGGGACCAAACCTGTACCAGATGGATCTCTGTGGTCCAGTGTGTGTGTGTGTGTGTGTGTGTGTGTGTGTGTGTGTGTGTGTGTGTGTGTGTGTTGTGTGTGTGTGTGTTGTGTGTGTGTGTGTGTGTGTGTGTGTGTGTGTGTGTGTGTGTGTGTGAGCCTGAAACCTGTCTGTATCAGCTGAGGGTTTATCTGCTCAGAGATCCCTCCACCTGTTATCAAATATCTGCTCTGTATCAGCCTCCTTGTTGTCAGAGGTCAGAGGTCACGGTGAAGGGTTCTGGGTGCTTCCAGCTCTTCAGTCACTCAGGTCGTCCTCTTAGTGCCAACACAATCCGCTCCAGGACACTTGTTGCTTGTTGCTAGGGCTGTGCAATTAATTATTATTTTTGGCGTCTTTATTACGCTCAGAGATGTTCAGGATTGTTAGAGTGAGGAAGGCTTGAAGAACAGTTTAAATCCAGAAAATAAATATTCAGAGTCAGACTGAGTTTAATTTCTTTCACAAATAAGAACGAGTACTGTCCGCAGTTTATGTGAACCTGTACAGAATTCAGATTAGACCTGAAGTTAACTCTAAACTAAACCTGACTGAAAATCAAACCTGACAGAGAGCTGAACAGAATGAACGGAGAGCTTCATCATGCAGCTTGCTGGTCTGCAGGATTTATTATCAGACTGTTCAGCAGCGCCGTCTGCACAGAGGAGGAGGAGCAAACTCAAACATGAGGCTGTGCAAACTTTAGGTGTGATAATGATAATAATAATGTAATAATTCTTTATTTGTGCAGCAGCTGAAAAGAACAAACATGAAGAATAAGAGATTTCAAATGAAAATAAAACCACAGAGTAAAAGCTTTTACTTTGAAAGCATGTCTGGAGGAGAGGAATAAAAGGAGGGACTGATTCAGCAGGATCTTTAGCAGGACGACGACAGAAAAAACTCAGCGCAAACCCTTGAGTCCTGGTCCTGCTGGACTAAACATAAAAACAAAGAGAGACAGAGTCTGCACACCAGACGCTACTCCAGTTCACATGAATGTTTCACCACGTGTGATGTTCAGGCTCCTGTAGCTCTGAAGCTCTCAGTCAGACATGAAGGAAACCATCAGAACCCTTTCAGACTGGAGCAGGAAGTTAAAGTGTCCTAAACAAGCCTGTCACTCTCTTATTTATATTATTAATATTAATAAGAGGTCACTCTGTCACTGACTGAGAGCGACCTCTAGTGGTGACACAGAGCGACTTCTAGCAGTGACAGAGAGCGACCTCTAGAGGTGACAGAGAGCGACATCTAGAGGAGACAGAGAGCGACCTCTAGAGGTGACAGAGAGCGACCTCTAGAGGTGACAGAGAGCGACATCTAGAAGTGACAGAGAGCGACATCTAGAGGAGACAGAGAGCGACCTCTATCGGTGACAGAGTGCGACCTCTAGAGGCGACAGAGAGCGACCTCTAGCTGTGACAGAGAGCGACCTCTAGCAGTGACAGAGAGCGACCTCTAGAGGAGGAGACAGAGAGCGACCTCTAGAGTGACCTCTAGCGGTGACACAGAGCGACTTCTAGCGGTGACAGAGAGCGACCTCTAGAGGAGACAGAGAGCGACCTCTAGAGGTGACAGAGAGCGACCTCTAGAGTGACCTCTAGCGGTGACACAGAGCGACCTCTAGAGGTGACAGAGAGCGACCTCTAGAGGAGACAGAGAGCGACCTCTAGAGGAGACAGAGAGCGACCTCTAACTGACTGAGAGCGACCTCTATTGGTGACAGAGAGCGACCTCTAGTGGTGACAGAGAGCGACAGAGAGCGACCTCTAGAGGTGACAGAGAGCGACCTCTAGCGGTGACAGAGAGCGACCTCTAGAGGAGACAGAGAGCGACCTCTAGAGGAGACAGAGAGCGACCTCTAGAGGAGACAGAGAGCGACCTCTAGCGGTGACAGAGAGCGACCTCTAGCGGTGACAAAGAGCGACCTCTAGCGGTGACAGAGAGCGACCTCTAGCGGTGACAGAGAGCGACCTCTAGCGGTGACAGAGAGCGACCTCTAGCTGTGACAGAGAGCGACCTCTAGTGGTGACAGAGAGCGACAGAGAGCGACCTCTAGCTGTGACAGAGAGCGACCTCTAGAGGTGACAGAGAGCGACCTCTAGAGGAGACAGAGAGCGACCTCTAGAGGAGACAGAGAGCGACCTCTAGCGGTGACAGAGAGTGACCTCTAGTGGTGACAAAGAGCGGCCTCTAACTGACAGAGAGCGACCTCTAGCGGTGACAGAGAGCGACCTCTAGCGGTGACAGAGAGCGACCTCTAGCGGTGACAGAGAGCGACCTCTAGCGGTGACAGATAGTGACCTCTAGCGGTGACAGAGAGCGACCTCTAGCGGTGACAGATAGTGACCTCTAGCGACCTCTAGCGGTGACAGAGAGCGACCTCTAGCGGAGACAGAGAGCGACCTCTAGCGGAGACAGAGAGCGACCTCTAGTGGAGACAGAGAGCGACCTCTAGAGGTGACAGAGTGTGACCTCTAACTGAATAAAGGTCATCGTCTCACTCCTGTTGTGTCCTTCAGCTGCAGCCTTGTTAGTGATTCTCTGCACTGCCTGCTAACACGAGTCTATCCGTCTTCTTTTGACCTTTAAATTGCTCCGCGCTCACGATGACTTTGGGCGATCTGTTTTTTTCTTTTTCATTAATGAGAAAAATCTGTCGCTGAGGTTTGAGAAGTATCACCGCTGTGTGCAGGTACGAAGAAGAGGAGGAAGTTATTCTGTCAAACTGAACATGAGACCTCAGAGACCGAGCCCCCCCCCCGCCCCCCTGCACCCTCTGACCCCCTCTTCCCCCTCCCAGTTTAATTACCCTCGCTGGCTGTAAATTTTACGGTGTTGGTGGAGTCGGCAGGGTTCGTCTGCTCTGCCAGAATCCAGCGCCTGATTTTCTGCTGAATCACTGTCTGCTGTGAGGAGAGTTAGAGGAGGGGGGGGGGGGTCTCCTGAGAATGTCCTGAGCTGCATGTGTGACAGCAAACCAACGATCTCTGCACCCACACTTTCACCAGCATGTTTCCTCACAGCTTCATGGTTCAGTGTGTAGACGAGGTGATCTGATGTGAGAACGCAGCAGGAAGGTTACAGATATTTCTAATCCCATCGATCACGTGAAAAACAGAACGAAAGACGTAATGAAACAACATCGTTATCACAATCAGGCCTGATGTTCACGATCGGTGCTCCTCCAGTATCACACTCCAAACTCTTGAAATGCTAAATGCTTCGTCATGCTGTGGTCATTTAGGCGAGGTGAAAAGGTGACGCTTAGTTTCTTCATCTTCAGAGCTTCAACAAACAGTCAGCTGATTAAAGGTCAGAGGTCACGCTGATAAGAAGCTGTCCAAAGATTCCTCACAAAGTTCCAAGTTTTGTTCTCAGTGTGCATGAACAACACAAACTCGTTTGTCGGTGATTAGATTCAGAAAATGACGCAGCTGGAGACAGAAAATGAATGCATCAGGTTTTTAGACATCAGGAGTAGAAGAATATTTCAGTTAGTGTGCGTGAGGAAGGAGGAGCGTCATGTGTGAACAGAAACAGCTGAATGTTTCTCTCTTCACCCGGAGTTTCTCCTCCAGCCTCCTCGTATTTATTCTGCAGAAAGTCAGAGTGAGCTGATGTGAGAACGCAGCAGGATATAATCAGGAGAATTCACCTGGAGCGAGTGAGAGGGGGTGGTTAGTGTCGTATAGAGAGTGCATGTGTGAACAGGTCAGGCTTTAGAGAGTCCGTTGACCGTGGCACTTTGAAACATTAGCAGCAGCTAACAAGTCAACACTTCAAACGGGGGGGAGACATTCTCTCCTAACAGATACGATCGCAGGAAGAGACATGACAAGAAACAGGAAGTAGTTTGGCACTCAAACAGAGCGGTCAGGGCGGGATTCAGCCTGACCTCCGCTGACCTCGCTTTAACTCTCCGCTCATGACGATGACTTCCTCCCAGGAAGGAAGTGATCATTTCAGGAGGTCACAAACAAAGCTGGCACACCAACAAACGGGTGAACATCGCTGTCATGGCCTCGAGCTGCCCAGCCCCGCCATGTGGACATCTGTGTGCGTCTACCCATAAACCCCTCTGTTTGGGGTCGTTTCCTGCACTCGGCTCAGATTTCATTTTCTCTCGTGACAAACGGACACACTCAGGTTTTTAAGAGCGCACTTTAAATTGTGAACGCTCTTACCTGGACACACAAAGCAGACTGAGGAGGACAAACAGACCTCACCCGATGGTTAGAGCCTTATATGGGCACGATCAGACGGGGTTGTGCTCACTGATTGGTCCCTTTATTATCCATTTAAGTCTGTATTTCAGCACTTGACACTAACTGGACCATGCACGCTGTCCTGACTTCTTCTTATCTGGTTTACTGTTTTGTTAACGCCCTTCATGTTTCTAAAGTCCTTGTCTCCTGTGTGACTTCCTGCCTTCTTGTGTGTTTCCCTCCTGTTTGATTGGCTGCCACGCCCTCATTAGTGTCACCTGTTCACCATCCTGTTGTCTCCTTCTCTCTGGCCCAATCTCGATGTCCACCCTCACACACTCACTGACTTTGGTGAGCGTTCCCTGTAAGTCTGTGAGGGCTTAGTGCCGTCCCACTGTCAAATCATCAAGTGTTTGAGGGATCTCTCGCTGACTTTACGAGCCCTTAATGCACCCTGTCTGTAAGTGGGCATATCTGCAGACTTAACGTGAGGGAATTACCCATAGTTCATAGCATTGTGACGTGAAACATTTCCCGGGGAAGCCCACAAAAATTGAAGGGTAAACAAACGACATAACACAGAAAAAAGACGGTAGAGACGATAAAAAAAAAAAAAACAGGAAAGTGAAACCACGCTCCATTTACAGTCTACTAAAAAAGTTTCTTTGGAAACTACAGCTAATTCAGAACTCCTTTGCAAGTCTGTAAAGAAAAAAAGAGAGGCAGAGAGCATGTTAGTCCCATAAGATAAGATAAACCTTTATTTATCCCACAACAAATACATTTATATATAGGCCTATACTTAGTAGAACTTTTTATAGGCGCCATGGCTGTGAGTGAGTAAAGTAAAAAAACATAAAATAAGCTTTTGCTACATGAAATCATGTAGTCATGGTTGCAGAGAAGTTGTAAAGTGCTGTCCCATTTGTATTTAACCATTGGAGCCCTCGCAGCCTCATGCACTAAATCACTTTCCAGGTGACGTCAATAAAGTCAGTAAGGGCTCAGGGTTCAGGGTTTAGGGTTCAGGGTTCAGGGTTCAGGGTTTAGGGAGGACATCGAGATTCAGCCTCTCAGCTCTCCTTTGTTGTTCCTCTTCTGTTTGTGTTTTTAAATCTGGATCTTGAGTTCGCCTTCCTGTAGTTCTTGGATTTGTAAGATGCTCTTCTTTAACCTTAAAAATCTTTTTATTCGCTGCATCATCCAGCCTGTCCGTGTTCGCCTCCAGCTTGTGACACGTTTCTTAATTAACCGTGAAGCTGCTTCATTTGAGTCGTTTTTATAAACTCGTTTTTAGGGATTTTAATCTCACATCACTAAAGCTCGGCTGCACAAACGTCCGCTACATAATCTTTAACAGTTTGCAAATTCATCCTCTCTAAACGAAGGAGAATAATCCTCGTCAATGGTCTACTTCTTCTTCTTCTTGAATTATAAACAGAGCCGTCTTTTAACTCTTGCTGTTGATCGTAGCTTGTATTTTAGGCGTCCGTAGAGGATGGTCACTGTGTTCAGATAATGACTTCAGTAACACGTCTCTCTGATCAGTCCGTCGTCTGTTTACTCACCTTATATCACCTCAGCTCTCTGGGAACTTTAATGAAGATTATAAACCCCCCCCAAAAAGTCCAGGAACTGTCTTAACATTTCTAAAATAATAACAAAGGATTCAGAGCGAGCAGATTCCCTTTGATCTGAACACGCCATGCAGTGGAAAAGAGTCACCAGCTCGTCTTTAAAAACCCTGAGAGTCGAGCAAAACGAGGTCTAAACACGAGGCTTAAAGACGCTGAAAACTCCACATGACGCAGCAGAATCAGTTGATAACTTTTCACACCTGCATTCATGAAAATGAGAACTTCATCTTCATCTTCCCGAGCTGCTTGTTCACACATGCACCTCACAGCCGCAGAGGAAGAAAAAGAAGAAGAACATCCTGGAGAACAGGAAACATAATGCAGCAGGTTCATTGGAGCACGGAGATGGTAGAGGTGGCGTGCAGACAGTCTATGGTCGTGCAGCGAACATCATTTTCTGCAGTTTGTGCAGCTCACCAGTTTTGTGCGTGTGTGTGAACATCATATATGAGGATTCTTAATGAGAACATATTTATAAGAGAAGTTTCAGATCTTTGTGTTTAACTTCCTGCTGCTCGTCACAGGTACGGAGGCGAGCTGTGAGAACGAGGGCGAGGTCCTCCACATCCCCAACATCACCGACAACCCGTGCATCACCTGCGTGTGTCTGGTAAGTCTCCCGTTCTGCTTTGATTACATCATCACGGCCGCCTGCTCTGTTTGCTCGGCTGATGTGTAGCTGCTGCAGGATTCTGCTGAGGCTGACGGGATGAAATGACTTCCTGAGGCGCTGATAGAGACGTTTGTAACGCTGGTTATTGAGCTGTGTGATCGTTATCGAGAAGCTGTGAAAGATCTGTGACTCTGCAACAGGAAGTGAGAGAGACGAGTGCAAACTTCTTCATGTGCCACATGAAGTGAGGATAGGAGGTTTGTTTTGAACGGTTTCAGTTATTTATTCGTGCGCCTCTTTTCTGTGTTTTGAGGATTTACGACAGAGCGGCAGTGAAACATGAAGTGGCTGATTGTTTGTTTTAGCTGACACGCCTGTCGTCACGCTGTCCTGGCTCGTCTCTTAAAACCAGCCTACAAAAGGTTAGGGGACGACTCTTTCCTGTAACATGTGCTCTTTGACCCCTGACCCCCCCCCCCCCCCCATCACTGCTGCATAGCTCTCTGTTTTAACGGGATGAGAATGGAGCAACAAGTCTTTTCTGTGTCACTGCCTCCTCATTGTCTGAAAGAATCTGTCACATGATCAGAGTCCAGCCTCCAGGACGTACACGGTGCCGATTAGCTGCAGACTGCACGTTGTGTGTGTGCGTATCAAGTTCATAATGTGCTACACTCCTGATAGAACCACTGCTTCAGTGTTTATCCAGCTCTGCATGAGTCTGTAACTTTCTGCGTTCTAACCTCTCTCCATTTTTCAAAAACATCTCCAATATTGATCCTAGTTTGAGCACGTTTCTGCTCGTGGAGCTTATTAGAAACATGCAGAGGCTTTTTAGGTCAGGTACAATCACTTCTATCTGAACCACTTCTCTTGCGCTCTTCCATCGCTGCAACACCTGTTGGTTTGACCTGATAACTGCTCTCATATCTGGCAAACCGAGGGGCGTCCAAAATGGCCGTGTGTGGGGCGCCTTAAAACCGCTTACCTTCTCTGGTCCGAAGTCTCAGCAGTAACAGGAAATAGCTTCCTCCAGAAGGCGTCCATGGTGCTGCACGCTGTTTCTCAGTGATGGAGGTGAAAATGAGAAGAAGAGGAAATAATAAAAACAAGCTCATCGATACAGAAAGACAGGAATGATTTTATAAATGTTCAAGGAAAGCTACAGAAACTCCAGTTCATGGTGTCTCCACTGATTTTGCAAAGATACCAAAGATGTTTAAGATCATTAAAAGATATGATTAAATATATTTAAGGGGAACTGCGTTTTAAATGGATTTACCAAAGCTCTGTCGTTGGGTTTTATCCAGAGCTGTTGGACAACATGACAAGCCGCTCCTCTTCTTACTCTTCTCAGACCTTTGAAGCAGATTTCCGTCGTCTGTTTGGTCTTTGTGTGATGAGTTTTTTAGAGGTTTAATATCCTGGTGATCAGATCAGAGACGATGGAGGAACAAGAGGAGGGATATCATCTCACCAGGCCGTTATTCTCCTCTTCTATGTTATTATGAGACTCTGTGTCACCATATACAGGTTTAGTTTGAAGATGGATCTATTCACGGCTAGTACGACTTTGAGCTTCCAATCGCTGGCTCCTGATTGGCTGCTGTGACCTCCCCCCAGCCTGTGGTCTGACTCAGCCGTCCTCTGTGTTATCAGGCAGACATCAGCCAAAGCCCCGCTGAGTGCTATCAGTCATCAGCAGGCAATGGTCAGCCTTTCATCTGTGCTTTAACCCCCCCCCCCCCCACACACACACACACGCACACACACACACACACACACACACACACACACGCCCGCAGGGTGCTTTACAAAGAGCAGGTTAAAGATCTTACTCGTTAAGTAAAATGAGATGGGATAATATGCAGGTAGGGTTTCTCCTTTGTATCCCTCTCGTTCCTGTTGTCCACGCTTCCTCTCCGCTGAGGTGGAGGTCGGAGCAGGCCGTGCATGAAGGAGGACGGCGCTGGTTGTGGGGACGTCTCAGTTTGATGGTGGAGGCTGGGCATCGGGTGGTGGTAGTAGAGCCGGATCACCTCGCTGAAGGTTGGCCTCTGCTGCCGGGACGAGACCTCCTGAGCTTCTAACACACTGACGATAGATTTTATTTGTTGACAGTTTTGTTTGAAACGACACAAACATGGTCACTTCCTGTCAGCCCTCTGCCTCTGATCACTTCCTGTCAGCCCCTGTGTGTCCAATCAGACTTAGTTTGAACTTCCTGGCGTTGTTTCCCCCTCTCTAGATCCTTGCTTGACAGAACATCGTGGTTAAAATGAGAGTAAACCCGACCTCAGCCGATAAAGGATGTGTTTTAAAGTCTCTATGCTTTAAAAAAAGTTGACTGTCTGAGTCGTGGTGCTGTCTTTAGGGGGTTGGGGGGCCATCAGGGCTCCAGTGTCACTCATACATTGGGGGTTGTGGTGGTGGTGGTGGTGTGTGTGTTTGTGTGTGTGTGTATGTGTGTGTGTGTGTGTGGGGGGGGGGTCCAGAGTACCTGCTAATGGCCCTGAGGACACACACACACAGATACACACAGAAGAGCCATTGTGCGGATGGGTGAGGCTGGGTGCTGTAATGGGGCCAGGAGTGGATGTGGCTGACAGACTGACTGACAGGCAGGTCGCCATGACGATTGGTTATCTCGTAGGGAGTCGGCCTCATCTCCGTCACGCTCTTCATTGCCCTGGTCTATCTGTCTGATCATCTCCGTGTCTTTTTACACTCTCTCGTCGGCGCTTCCTCCCCTCACTCGCCCTCAGACTGGCTTCTCCCGTCTACTCGACTTCTCGTCTTCCCGCTCAGCGAGAAGAGCTTGAGTCAGTTTTCAGAATAAGACCAGCTGAAATTGGATTGTTACCGCAGGGTCGCTTAGAGCTCCTCTGCGCAGGTTTCAGACGGACTGATATTCATCCTGATCCTTCTTTATGACGTATAACAGCAAACCAGACGATCAGAAAGTTGACTCTTGTGTTCACACTTGCAGGAAACTGAGCGTCATGTGTGAACAGAAACAGCTGAATGTTTCTCTCTTCACCCGGAGTTTCTCCTCCAGCCTCCTCGTATTTATTCTGCAGAAAGTCAGAGTGAGCTGATGTGAGAACGCAGCAGGATGTAATCAGGAGAATTCACCTGGAGCGAGTGGGAGGGGGGTGGTGACGTTTATTCCCTTGGATCGCTGCACACATGATCTCAGTGCCACATGCATGTGAGGAGGTTTGACCAAATCTCTGCTAAAGAAACGTCCCGTTTGCACCAGTTGAACCCGGGTCAGTAATCCAGGCAGGTAAAGGACACATGATTAAAAAGGTTTGGACGTCATGTCGCAGGGTGCCTCTTTTAGCATTTCCTTCTGAAATGAAAATGACCAAATGAAAACTGTTCTTTCAGACAGAAAACACTTTGAAACTACATTTTCAACTCAAAACATGCTGAATTTAAAAAGACCGATATCTAACCAAGCCTCTGATCCTTCATCCCTCTCAGGACAGGACGCCTGAAACGCTGACGACTTTAAAGCAGCTCTTTAATCGATCAAACAAACATTCCTGAAGTTTTTTACACTCAGCAGCTGCGATTGAGCCGAGAGAGAAGTCAGAGGTCGTCTCCTGTCAGCGACTCAACTCAAACAGAAGCTGATCAATACAGGAGACGCGGGGTTAACCTGATCACCACCTGATAACACAGAGCCACCACATGCTCCGCTCTATTTCTTCACACGGGAAACACCAGGCAGCTGACCTTACAGGATTTAACACGTCGCTCATCATCCAGAGATACTGAGATAAAGATGAAGAAGTTTAAAACCGCTTTTCGTCCTCCTTGCCGTCTTTCTTGGTTAGGACGATAAAAGAAGAAGAAACAAGAAATAAAGGGTCTCTAATGTCGCTTTAAAGGTCAAATGTCTCATCGTTTAGTTTGAATATAAATTAAGAACAAGCTAACAGACAGCAAACAGACTAACTGATGTGCACCTCCCACCAGGCGGGGGCGCTGTTGTTTCCTAACTGCAGTAAAAACGTTAGCAGACACTTTTTGAAGTTGTTGAAACAGCTTTGTGAAGCCCGTTCCCATCAACGTCTCTCTCCGTCTGTCTCGTTCTTAAGCTACTGTGGCTCCTGCTCTCCGCCGGGAGGTCACGACCTGTTTGTTTTGGAGGAAGGGTGAAAGGTGAGAGGTCACAGAGGTACAGGGGAGGTGAGGGTTTGGGGGGTCGGTAGAGGAAGAGCAGGGTGGGGGGGGTTGACGTCCAAGGGCTTAAGTCGGTCTTTAACTGAAGAACTCCCCTCCTGTGATGACTCACTCTGACTGCTCTCTCCATCGCTCGCCATGACGGAGAGAAAACATGTTAGAGACAAAGAAAACAAAGTAAGAGAGGCAGGTGGAGCACAGGTGAAGTACAGGTGATATCCAGGACAGTGAAGTTTAAGGGTGAAAGAGAAAAGGCTGCAGACGGAGGAAGAAAAGGCGATGATGAAGAAAGACAGACTGTGGCCGTTTCCGAATAGCCACAGTTCAGTATGCAGTACGTATTTTTCAGTATGGAGTTTCAGTATACTGAACTCTCGTTGTCATTCAGTATGCATTTTTTGGGTCCACCTCAGTATACTGAACATTTCTGTATGGATACTAACTTCCGGGTTTCATGCAGTATGGATTGGATGCGTCCTTTCAGGAAATGACTTGTATTTTACCACCCACAATGCTGTGCGAAATTAAACGTAAATCGGCACGTCACGTCCGCCTCCAAATCAAAACAAACGAGCATGGATTAATTGAATACATTTTTAATCTAGAGTTAAAATCCTGACTGAAATCACTACTTTTAATTAACAACAGAAAATATAACAAATGTAGACATTATTCTAAAACCTTTCCCCCTCTATTTAAATAATGATTTCACTATTTAAATGCGTCTTTATTGGTTTATTTTTACTTTATATTCTGTATATTACTGTCTTTAATTTGTTCTTTCCTTTATGTCCTGTATGTTATTTAGTTATTTAATCTGTCTTTTACTTGTGATATTGTTTTTTACCTGACTGTATGCACATTACTCTTCTTGAATAAAGCTAAACAAAAAAAAACGGGTGCGGCCGGTTCGGGAAACGTAAATGACACTTCCATACTGAATGAATCAGATGGAACAAATATCTGCCTACTGAATAGTAGGTACTAAACAGCATACAGCACAGATAGTAGGTAGTGTCTACTGACAACTGACAGATTGAGTAGGTACTTGACAATTCGGATACAGCCAGAGAGTAGAGATGAAGAGGACGAGGGATGAAGAAGAAAGAAAACACAATGACGATAAAAATCAGTGAACACCGTCGCCTCCTAGTGGTAGAGAAGATCAGGAGTAGTTCTCTTGTGATCTTGTAGTTCTCCTGTGATCTTGTAGTTTTCCTGTGATCTTGTAGTTCTCCTGTGATCTTGTAGTTCTTTTGTGATCTTGTAGTTCTCCTGTGATCTTGTAGTTCTCCTGGTATCTTGTAGTTCTGTGATCTTGTAGTTCTTTTGTGATCTTGTAGTTCTCCTGTGATCTTGTAGTTCTGTGATCTTGTAGTTCTCTTGTGATCTTGTAGTTTTCCTGTGATCTTGTAGTTCTGTGATCTTGTAGTTCTCCTGTGATCTTGTAGTTTTCCTGTGATCTTGTAGTTCTGTGATCTTGTAGTTCTCTTGTGATCTTGTAGTTCTCCTGTGATCTTGTGAACCTGTCATGAGACCAGCTGATCATGGCTGCCCAGAAACGGACCCTGTGGGGCAGGACGCTCGCTGTCTGATGTATCAAAACCATGGCGCTGACGTAACACAGCGTGCACAGACTGTGGAAACTGGCTGAGTTGTAAAAATCCCTTCAAGCCAATAATATGCAAACATTACATGTGACCCCCTCCCCCTCCACACTCCCCCCCCTTATCTAGGGGTCTGAGGTCACACCGGGTCAGCACGCTGTTTGATCAAACAACTGCATCCCATAATAAGCGATAACTCTTTTTCAAGCTGATGTGATTAATGAAAAGTTTTAACTTCACAGTGAACAGAAAACGTCCAACAGGCTCGTCTTTGTTCTTCAGCTTCTGGAAACTTCTGGTTTTAATGACGTCATCAATGATGTCACCTGATATCTATAATTATCTGAACTGTATGTTTTTAACATTTACATCACATTATTGTACTGTTTAGAAACAGCTCACAGGAAGCCGCCTGTGAATGAGCCGCTCAGGAAACGATTCATTAATGGCACTCTGTGTTTGACTCTTGCCTCCACTAATCCACTTGGTGATGATTGAATTTAACGGACTGCACGATGCTTCTCATTCAGGACATTTACAGTTTGTCACATGTCTGCCTGGGCGGAGAGTTAAAGGCACAGGATGTTAACTCCACCACCAGGGGGCGCTCAATCAAAACATAACATGTGGATCAGGTTGATCCGCTCGGTTCTCTCTGAACGATGGAAAATCGACTGATAGACGAGTTCTGATGATCATGAGGAGGAAGTCTGCAAGCGGCTGGACACGTTGAATAAATCTGGAGTTAGGAGATCTTGTTATGACGCCTGCTCGTCCACATAAATGTATTCAGAGGAAATCCTCGTATCTCACACACACACACACACACACACACACACACACACACACACACACACACACACACACACACACACACACACACACACACGCACACACAGTATCTCAGTCTGTTGGAGGGTCGTCGGTTCAAGTCCTGTTGCGGACCAAATATGGAAGTTGGTCTGGTAGCTGGAGAGGTGCTAGATCACTTCCTGAGAGCTGCAGAGGTGTCCTTGAGCAAGGTGCCAAACCCCCTCCCCACCACCAGCTCAGGAGCGCCCGCTGTGGGCAGCTCCGTCACTCTGACATCTCTCCATTAGTGCATGTCCACAGGATCCTGTTTGTGCATGTGTGTGTATATTTCAGTCTATGTGTGTGTTGCATGACTTACAGAGTGTAAAAACAGAATTTCCCCTTGCAGGGATCAATAAAGTAAATCTTAATCTCAAAGAGAACACACACTTTCCCTTTCACTGACACACACACACTTACAAGCATACCAACCAGCTTTATCCCACTTTATGTGTGTGTGTGTGTTGGGCCGTCACCCACGGCGACAGACAGCCGTCCAGTTGACCAGGCTTGGTGCCACGGTGGTATGTCGAGTGTTTATAAGGCGTGGTGACCCGGTGTGACCTGAGACCCCTAGACAAGCTGTGTGTGTGTGTAGGGGGGGTAAGGGGGGGTTACATGTACTACTTTGTGGTAATGAACAACAACAACAGAGAGAGTGAGAGAGAGAGACAGAAAAGAGAGAGAGAAGAGAGAGAGAGGAGAAAGAGAGAGAGAGAGAGATGACCTTGGTGACTGAGTCGTCGACGTAGGATCACCGAACTTGACCTCTTTATGATCGTCTCCTTTTTGACTCTTGGTTTTTGTCCATGCAGCAGTTTTCTAGAGGTTTTGGGTGGCGCTGGTTATGCAGAGCGACAATTTGCTCTTTATTTCTTATTTTTCCTCCCCTCTCTCCCTCTCTCTCTCCTCTCTCTTTCTTTCTCCCTCTCTCCTCTCTCTCCCTCTCTCTCTCCTCTCTCTCCTCTCTCTTTCTTTCTCCTCTCTCTCTCTCTCTCTCTCTCTCTCTCTCTCTCCCTCCCTCTCTCTCTCCTCTCCCCTCCCTCTCTCTCTCCTCTCTCTTTCTTTCTCCTCTCTCTCTCCCCTCCCTCTCTCTCTCTCCTCTCTCTCTCCCTCCCTCTCTCTCTCCTCTCCCCTCCCTCTCTCTCCCCTCCCTCTCTCTCTCCTCTCCTCTCCCCTCCCTCTCTCTCCTCTCTCTCTCTCCTCTCTCTCTCTCCTTTCTCTCTCTCTCCTCTCTCTCTCCCTCTCTCTCTCCTCTCCCCTCCTCTCTCCCCCTCCTCTCTCTCTTTCTTTCTCTCTCCTCTCTCTCTTTCTCTCTATCTCCTCTCTCTCTCCTCTCTCTCCCCTCCCTCTCTCTCTCCTATCTCTTTCTCTCTCCTCTCTCTCTCTTCACTCCCTCTCTCTCCTCCCTCTCTCTCCTCACTCCCTCTCTCTCTCCTCTCTCTCTCTCTCTCTCTGTCTCTTTATCATGACATCATCTGTCCTCGCTGTGGTTGGGGTTTCGCTGCTGCTATATTAAACCACGCTGGTTTATTTTCGCCTTGCTTTGATCCGTCCTCGTTAGAGCCGCTGCCGCAGGGCCGCAGGGCCACGGGACCTGCCAGCCTGCACTTTATAAACCCTCACAGTTTGTCAAATAAAACACACACACACACACACACACACACACACACACACACACACACACACACACACACACACACACACACACACACACACACACACACACAGAGCGTGTGGATACCATCAGCAGTGAAAGCTGGGTGTGAAAGTGCCGCGGATTAAACGGTCCCGCGGTGCGCTCTGTGGCGATGTTGGACTCTGTGCAGGTTTTCGAGGTGGCTGCAGGATTGTTGAGTCGGTGTGAAAATTCACAGCTGAACTGTGAAGATTGAGTCACTTCAGACGGAGGAAAGTGAAGCTGCAGATGTCGGAGCTCAGAGGAGATAAAGCAGGTTAGAAAACGTCCCGTCTGAAAGATTCAGGTCTGTGTCGATGACTCGGCTCTCAGCGTGAATATTAAAAACCTCTCTGATTGTTTGAGATCTGATCAGATAGACTTCTGGTGATTCCTGCCTTTTATCCAACAGTGGAGTAAAGTATAAAAACATTAAGAAATACTGTTATTGGTTGTTGTACAGCCAATGTTCATCAAATGTATCCAACCTCGGCCCTTTGCTGCATGTCCTCCTCTCTCTCTCTCTCTCCTCCCAACACTTCCTCTCTCTCTTCAGCCGTCCTGTCTTATTAAGGCAAAAAGGAACAAAGACAAATGACAATTCAGGGCCTGTGTCCACTGATGCCATCACTTCTCAGACATTTCTACAGAATAAATACCAGGAGTCTGTGAGGAGACATTCGTCTGTTTGCGTTCACACATGCCTCTCAGCCTGAAAACTTCAGGAGTTTTGTGCTGCTGTGAAAGAACTATTTATGTTGAAAACACTCAGAAAGTTTACATGCACAGATAATGTGAGCGACAGTTTATTATTTATGTATTATTGACTCTCTCTGTCTCCCTCTCTCTCTGTCTGTCTCCCTCTCTCTCTCTCTCCCCCTGCAGGAGGGGAAGGCCGACTGTAAACAGGAGAAATGTCCTCTGGTCTCAGATGACTGTGCTCTGGTGGTGAAACAGACCGGAGCCTGCTGCGAGAGGTGCAAAGGTAAAAGGCTCACCTATGTTCCCTTTAATGAACGTCCTAAACCACATAACTGTCACTACTGGGGCGACCCGGGTTCTGATTCGATTCTGATTCGATACGTTTGCAGTTCTTCACCACACCGCAAAAACATTTTCAGAAGTTTTCTTTTTTTTCCTGTTTGACTGTTAACCACTTCCTGTTTCTACTAAAAGGGCCTTACTGTAATTTCAAAATAAAAGCACGATTTAGTTCAAAGAGGATGTTAAGTACCCTCACCTTAAGACAGTATGAACATTCAAAATAAAATAAACTAAAATAATGTCAAACACTTAATGGTACTTTCACACATGCACAAAACTCTCTGAACTTCCTGAACTGTTCAGGATGAGCTGCATGAGACCGATAACTCACCCAGACTTTACCCTGATTATTTTCTGACGACCCTCGAAAAAGACCTGAAGAGATGTTTTTCATCTTCAGATGCTTCAGTGTCTTGTCTAAATAAATATCAAACATATCTTACAGACTGCTCCTTTAATCCTTTAAATAGTGGAGGCTCTTTGTGTGCTTCAGGAGCTTTGTGCTGCAATAGAAAGATAATATAACACACACACTCAGACGCACACTCAGACGCACACACAGACGCACACTCAGACACACACTCAGACACACACTCAGACACACACTCAGACACACACTCAGACACACACTCAGACGCACACACACACACACACACACACACACACACACAGACGCACACACAGACACACACTCAGACACACACTCAGACACACACACACAGACACACACTCAGACGCACACACACACACACACACACACACACACACACACACACACACACACACACACAGACGCACGCACAGACACACACTCAGACACACACACACACACACAGACACACACTCAGACGCACACTCAGACGCACACACACACACAGACACACACTCAGACACACACTCAGACGCACACTCAGACGCACACACACACACAGACACACACACAGACGCACACACAGACACACACACAGACACACACTCAGACACACACTCAGACACACACTCAGACACACACTCAGACACACACTCAGACGCACACACACAGACGCACACTCAGACGCACGCACACACACAGACACACACTCAGACGCACACACACAGACGCACACTCAGACGCACACTCAGACTCACACTCAGACGCACACACACAGACACACACTCAGACTCACACTCAGACGCACACACACACACAGACTCACACTCAGACACACACACACACACACACACACACACACACACAGGCTCACACTCACACACACACACACACACACACACACACACAGGCTCACACTCACACACACACACACACACACACACACACACACACACACACACACACACACACACACACTCAGACGCACACGCCTCCCGGCTCTCAGCAGGGGCGAGGTCCTTTTGTTTGCGGTACGCCGTTTTTACGACGCAGCACTTCGTTAAGAGACGTGGAGCGAGCTCCACTCGGACATGGAAAGCCCCTTGTTGCCAAGGCGACCCTTGTTAGTTTTCTTTATTGTGCGGTGGACTTGTGGCGGGCGGGGGCGACCACATTTAGGACCCCTTTGTGTCTTTTTTGCTTTGGAAAACGCCCCGAACTCCACCGCGGCACATCACCGCTTTCTCACTGTTTTTATGAAATCAGAGTTAAGACGACACTCACGCCCAGTCTGCAGCGGTTTACTGGGAACATTGGAGTTTAAAAACGGGGTTTAATTGACCACTTTGTGTCGTGTAAGAATATTCTGATAAACTCAAAACTTTTAAAAAGGTTCTAAGAAGATCTGAACATCCAGGAAAGAACATTTTAGTAATATATCTTTTATCAGAGATGCTGAGTGACCAGAGGAGAGGTCAGATCAGCCTGACTGACTGAGAGTGTGAACAGGATCTGAGTCTCTGCGGGGGTCCAGATCATCTGATCCTCCTCTGCAGCAATACAGGATCACAGAGACGGATTCTCAATGAGGGAAAGCAGATTGATGCTCGTGATCACGTTTCAAACATTGATCTGAGGCCACTTACTGTAACCGGGATGAAATTAAGTTTTTTCATTTAGTGCTGAGTCGGCGGGTTAGGACGCTGAGTCACTGTGAAGTGTGTTTTTATTCAAGTTCATGTTTCCACGTTTCAAGTCCACATGTAGGCGGGTACTTTTTATATAATCCCATCTATACACGTTCAGTTCTCAATAACATCTTCGTCCACAAGAAAATGCAAAAACGCACAGTTCCAGCTGTCATGAGCACGCCAAGTCAACAACTTTATTTATTCTTTATAGTAGAGACAAGAAAACATATTTATATTTTCATTTCATTGTACAGTGTTCCCTTTGTTATTTGTATTATATATTTGCTTTAATACAGTGTATAGCTTCTGTACAGTTTATTTTAATTTACTTAGCTGTTACTACAACTTATTTATTTTTATTTTATTTGTATCTTTCTACTCTTTTTTTCTTATAATGCGATTTATTTTATATATAATTTTAACTTTTTTGTAGAAGCTGACTCAGGGAGATACGCACAAAAATTCCAATGTACCTGTACTGTCCTGTACCTGTGCAAATGGCAATAAACATCTCTTCTATTCTATTGACAACACTTCCAGACGATCTCATCTCAGTCTGTCCATCAACATGCGGGCGAAGCAGCTCACTCAGAGACAACCACCATGTCAAAATGTGACCATTTCATTCACAAGGTTGTCACACCAGTCTGAATAACTGAGAATTATGTCTGCCATCGCTCTAATCTCATGAAAACTGAAGAGAGAGCATCGCACGCTGACATCACACGGAGGAGAAACCGGTGCACAGCGTGATGTTACAAGAACTAAACTCTGTTTTCCCGTCTACACAGAAACACCTTAAACTGAGTTTCTGAACATCTTCACCCCGGAAGGAGTTTTACTAACGGAGTGTTTACAGAGACCTGAAACAATGTTTGTGTATAAAAGGTCAAAATGAACAGAAAAAGATAAATAAAAAAAATACATGCCAATGTGTACAAGGACTGGGACGATGCTCGGATGGAAAAACATGTTGCCTTGATATACACAGTGTCTTAATAAAAGTGTCTTACATAAAGTGTTATATTTTATAAAGAGTAAAAAGTGTCCGTCTGTCTTCTCTCTCAGGCTGCATGTTGGATGGACGATCTTACAACAGCTCAGTGTCCTGGACCAGCTCCACCAAACCCTGCATGAACAGACGCTGTCAGTGTGTGTGTGTGTGTGTGTGTGTGTGTGTGTGTGTGTGTGTGTGTGTGTGTGTGTGTGAGAGAGTGTATGTGTGTGTGTGTGTGAGAGAGTGTGTGTGTATGTGTGTATGTGTGTATCTGTGTCTGTTGTGTGTGTGTGTGTGTGTGTGTGTGTGTGTGTGTGTGTGTGTGTGTGTGACTGTCAGCACATGAGAGGTGACGCTTGCAAACTGTTTCTTCAGCTCAGACGTCATGCAGTAACCTTTGACCTCAGATCTGAATCCACACAAACACACAGCCGTAGAGATATATGGAGGCTGAGGGAGGAGTGGATGAGAAGAGGAAGGGTTATAGGAAGAGGCGAAAGAAAGGAAGGATGCAAGGACAAAAAGAATTCAGGCCGGAAGACAAGAAATAAACAAAGAGATGGACAGAGAAAAGGTGGAGGAAGCTGTGGGGAAAAGAGGATAAAAGAGAATGGGGAGAAGAAGAAGGCATAAACAGCTGGAGAGAGGGATGAGATAAAACCTTGACAAAGAGCAGGAGAAACTGTGGGAAAAGAAGAGAAGTGATGGAGTCTGAGATGGAAGAGACAGAACGTCCGCATGAATGACTCCACTCTCCAAAATGTACAGACTAAAGACAGTGTTCACTTTTTGGTTGTGACAGGAAGGTGTCATCACAGAGTCGGAGGTCCAATGTCGTCCACTGCAGGAACCCCAAAATCCACCCCAAGAAGTGCTGCCCCACCTGCCCCAGTGAGTACCACCAGACGCTCTGATTCACTAAGGACCTGCACAGGTTTAACGTGGCCAAAAGCCACACAGTCCTTTTATGAATCAGGCCCCGATGTGTCACAATGAAGTTTCTGCAGTTCCTCCAGTGTCCACTAGAGGCTGGCTGCAGAAGCACAGGAAGTCACATACACACCCATTCTAAAAAGTCAGTTTTCACAGCAGAGATTAACATGTTTACAGCCTGGTTCAAAAAACAAACAGGTCTGATTAGCTGATTCGATCGACACACACTGTACGGGGGGGGGAATGTTTTAATGACTCATCAGTTTTGATTTGATGAAGGATAAGAGTTATTCACAATAAGGCGTGTAGCTGACATGATTGACAGGCGGGCGCGGTGTAACGGTTTGTCAGGAGGTTTAAAACCCGCCTCAGCTCCAGCTCTCAGCCTGTCGTTAGGTTGACAGAAAGTTAGGCTGAGACAGCATTTCCAGCATGGAGACTGCCATTGATGGGACTCCAGCGCCCCCTGCAGGAAAAGATGGGTGACGTCACTCAGGCTTCAAACATTCATATTTACAGTCTGTGGCTCCACACAATCAAAAACATCCAATATGATCAAATGTAGACTCTTTTGTCTGACAGACATTTATGATGTGACGTCGTTCAAACCGCTGTCACCCTAAAATGTGCCAAAACATTCAGAATAGACAAAGACACACAAATGCTTTTGATGAATGAAACACACAAAGATAGATTTGTATATCTCGTCTCCAGGGTTTAGAAAAAAAAAGGTGTGTCAGTGTTTTAATTTAATAATCAAACAGTTCATCAGGCAGTAAACACAAAGTGAGTCAGCTGTTTAAAATCTGTGTGACGTTTTTTACAGCTTGTATCTTTGAGGGTCGACTGTATAAAGAGAGGGAGGAGTTCAGTCCGGAGGGGCAACCCTGCATCAAATGTACCTGCACTGTGAGTACACACACACACACACACACACACACACACACACACACACATACACAGAGACACTCTGACCTGTTAGAGTGTTTGTGTGTTGGGGCCTCTGTCCTCTGAATACGTTATTTTGGAGTCTCGTGGGAGTCACAAAGTTTTGGTTGGAACAACATCCTCTCTCATTCCCCCCCCTCTGTGCCCCCCTCCCTCCTCCCCCATTAGACAAACAAACCCCACAGGTACGTCCATAAACACATTACAGTATTAATGTGCTTGCACCTCGTTTGGACGACCTGTAGGGTCGTTAACTCAGACTCAAAGAGGTCTTAAAGTTGACCGTGCTGATACGGACAGATTGTACATTAAATTGTCTCGTCTAAGTTTTCTGTCTCTCTGAACATTTACACAATTAGTAACTCTCATGAAAAAGTATAGGGACTACAGGTTATTTTATCTCAATTTTAGTATTTTAAATTTTCATTTCAATCCAAGACTGCAGTCCAAATTCTAAACATCATAGAGAGCTGTCTCCCCCCGGCCCCCTCCTCTCCAGAGTTGACGCTCACGCAGGTTGCCATGTGGTGGACACTGAAGCTTCAGTGTTTAGCCAGCTCTGCATCGGTCTGTAAACCTTTCTGCGTTCTAACCTCTCTCCATTTTTCAAAAGCATCTCCAATATTGATCCTAGTTTGAGCACGTTTCTGTTCGTGGAGCTTATTAGAAACATGCAGAGGCTTTTTAGGTCGGGTACAATCACTTCTATCTGAACCAGTTCTCTTGCCCGCTTCCATCGCTGCAACACCTGTTGACCTGATAACTGCTCTCAAATCTGGCAAACCGAGGGGTGTCCAAAACGGCCGTGTGGGGGTATCTTAAAACCGCTTACCTTCTCTGGTCCAAACAAATCCAGAGCATTCAGGGCCAGAATCTAACATTAGAAGGAGGACATACTGGCTGCTGCATTCTTTTCAGAGAAGCCAGCACTTCAACATGTTTCCTCATCAAACTTTGTTCTTATCGATCAGGAGATAGTGTGCATGCTTTTAAACATCATTTTATGACCTGGATACCAACAGATTGGCCTCAAGGCCAAAAGTCTCTGCATGAAGGACGAGCATGTGTTCATTATCGCGTTGTTGTTTCAGGGAGGGCGGACCCTTTGCAAGAGGGAGGTGTGTCCTGTCCTGTCATGCCCCGCCCACCTCAGCCACACCCCGTCTGGACAGTGCTGCCCCAGATGTCTTGGTAAGCAATCATGAACTTTCTGATGTGTCTATAAAAATAGGATCTGCAATAGGGGGGTGCAGCTCTGCTTCTTAAGAAGACCAATTTGATTCCCTATGACCAGTCCTTGTGTTTATTACTTTTCAAGAGACAGATTGTCTCCAGGTACAAGTACAAATGTTCACAGACTTAATTTGACCTCTTTAACTGTGGTGATGTGACCTGTGGCTCCTTAAGTTTGGATTTGACCTCAACTTTCTCCCTTAAACGTACGTTTCAGCGTCTGAATGCAAAGTGAAGGATGAATCACACCTTGGTTTCTTTTTTACTCCTGCAGGTCAGAGGAAGGTGTTTGATCTGTCGTTAGGAAGCTGTCTGTTCCACAGTGACGTCTACGAGAACGGCAATTCCTTCATTCACGACAACTGCACCACCTGCACCTGCAAGGTACAGGCCGCCATGTCCCAAACACTTGTCCTCCGTCACTGAGATGGAGACGACCAGAAGTTCTATTAAACCCTCTATTGTCTCTTTACTTTACTTTCCTTCTCTGCCATCTTTTCTACCCAGGACTCCACAGTGGTCTGCAGGAGGCGCTGCTCTCGGCCGGGGAGTTGCCACGGCGACCTCTGCTGCCCCGAGTGTCTGTCCTACGTGAAGGTGGAGGAGGTGAAGTACTGCAGAGTCCGGAACAAGATCTACAGGGTGAGAGTGCAGGAAGGGTTTTAATGCATTGATGGATCTGTATTTGATAAATGGATAGATTGACATATTAGGTTAATGGACAGATGGAGTCAGATTTATGGATGGATCTGATTGGATGGGTTAATGCATGAATGGATAAGATATGAATGGACACTAAAACATTAATATTTACCAAGCAGAAACATCCGGCGTTGAAAGATGAAGCCAAAGCATCTGATCTGACTGCAAGCCAACGCATTTAAGCGGTTTGTCAGGAGGCTGAAGCCCTGCCTCAGGTCCACCTCTTTGTCTGGTGTTATGTTTGACATAGACAGCATTTCCATCATGACAACCGCCATAGATGGGCTTCTAAAACGCCCTTTAGAAACCAAAGGGTGACGTCACTGAGACTGCGTCCATCTTTATATACAGTCTGATATAAACCTCATGGAAGACGGATGGATGATGGAGGTATGGATAAATGGATGCACTTATACAAAATAGATCTTTACTTTGTGAACAGATGGATAAGTGGATGATGTTTGGATGATGGACACATGGACGTTGATAAAAGTGTGGATGCACGGACAGCTGGATGTTTGGATGAACTCGTGTTCTGATCCTTGTTTGTTTCCTCTCTCCTGCAGGAAGGAGACATGTGGTCGTCCCTTAACTGCACGCTCTGCGCCTGTGTCAGAGGAAGCATCGAGTGTCGACCCAAACAGTGTGTACCAATCACCAGCTGCCCCTCGGTGAGTGACAGGCGGCCCAGTCAATCACAAGATTACATCCTGTTTGCACAATTTGCCAGATTTGCATTGTTGTTGTAATGATACACTCGACTCATGATTAAGATACGTAACACTATACTGGCTTCATGATACGATTCTTTAGGATTTCCTAATTTCTTTAAAACCATGAAATTGAAGTCTATTGATGAATACTTTTGCTATAAGGGTCTACTGAGTCACTTTAGAACTAGTCTTTCAAACCAAACCAAACCTCCCTCAGCGCACCGCCTCCATGTCTTTTCTCCGGTTCACAGAGTCTGATCATTCTTCTGCACGTAGTCGTCTCTGATTCTCATTAGTGTGAGCCTCTCACAGGTGCTTTGGTTTACAGTTTGTCACCCCTTATGGGCCCCCCTACTGGTCTGGGGCCCCAAGCAGTTGCCTGCCAGCGCCTCTGCTGGCAGGAAGAGGGTTTGTGCGGCGTTCACCTGTCCCAGAGGTGGCTGGGGGGGTCATCTGTCGGCTGGCGGGTGATGGAGTGGATTCCTCACATAGCGCCGGCCACTGGCGGTCACACAGTCAAAGCCGGTGTCATCGTTAGTCCAAGTTCACACGCTCCCAGCGGTTACTACAAACCCTAACCTGTTTGTGGTCAGAATCGGCGGCTGCAGGTTGATGTAGGTGGTCTGCAGAGTTTTTGTCTCCCATAAAGAGAAAGTTTCCCTCGCAGTGTGTTGTTGATTTGAGGACTGGATCTGCACAACCAGACACTAAACTCATGAGGATATTATGCTGTCTCTGAAAAAAACAAAATGGTGACTTCCTCTGTGTCAAATTCCAGCCTTTAAATCAGAGCGCCATTTATTACTGTATGACTTAAAGGCTGTGATGGTTCATCAAATACAGAACATTATATTTACACAAACCTACCTGTCAAACCTTTTTATCAAAAGGGGAATTTTTCATAAAAGGTCTCCTCCACTTCAACCAGTGTAAATAAGTCTCAGAGCTCCTCAAAACATGTGTGTTAAGTTTCTTGTTCTAAATCCACTCTGATCCTGTATTTGATCATGCCTATAAACCCCTCTATTTCAGCCCTGCTCAGAACAGACTGTTTCTGTGTCTGTACCTTTAAATATGTAAATGAGCTGTGTCTGACCACGCCCCCTCTCTGGAAGGGCTTGGGTGTGTCGGGCTTTCTCGCTCCATGTCCTATTGTTTACGGTGAGAAGGCAGACTCAGAGGGCAGAACAAACACCTAGCTGTGGGATTGTCACCCACCTGGGGGAGGGGTTACTGCCCTTTGTGATGTCATGAAGGGAAAATCTTCAAACGGCCTGTTTGAGCACACATTTTCTGAAAAGTGGAGCAGGTAAAAGACGGAGTGGGTGGACTTTTCTCATCATTGGGGGGTTTGTAGACAGACTAGAGACACATATTAGAGCTAGAGAAACATGGTGAAGTGGATTAAACATAATATGTGACTGTTAATAACGGATCATGTCACATCGATGTAAAGACGCTACATTAGCTCGGTCATAATAATCAGACACACACCTACCAAGTTATCACAGCCTACCTCAGTACAAACACACACACACTCTGTCTCTCTCTCCCATGCCGTCATCCTGCGGTCAGCGGCAGGTCGACAGAGAGCGTGCGTCCCTTTGGAGACAGTGTGTCTCTGAAGAGCCTTTTGTCTGTGTGACGTTTGAGTGACAGCGAAGAAGAGGTTCCCTATATTTAGGCCCCTGAAAACCAATCTGTGTGTGTGTGTGTGTGTGTGTGTGTGTGTGTGTGTGTGTGTGTGTATGTGCGTGTGTGTTGGAGAGAGAGAGAGAGAGTGTGTGTCCTCAGTTTGTCAAAAGGCAGCCCTCTTCAAAGACAGAGATTGGCCTTTGTGCAGAGGTTAGAACTCTGGAGTGTGTATAGAGTGTACGTCTGTATGTGATGACAGACGAGGTGCGTATGTGTGTGTGTGTGTGTGTGTGTGTGTGTGTGTGTGTGTGTGTGTGTGTGTGTGTGTGTGTGTGTGTGTGTGTGTGTGTGTGTGTGTGTGTGTGTGTGTGTGTGTGTGTGTGTGTGTGTGTGTGTGTGTGTGTGTGTGTTAGACAGAGAGAGAGAGAGACAGGAAGAAAGAAGGGCTTCCCTGAGGCAACAAAAACTAAGTGTGTGAAAGAGTCCTCTGATCTGCACCTCTGATGGAAGTTGAAACATACAGTACACACACACACACACACACACACAGTTTCCTGTTACACAGACAGAGTTCAGCGGTTGGCGTCGGAGTATCGGTGTCTTTGTGGTCGTCCCGGTTGGACTGTGAACTTGTCGAAGTGGGAACTTTTTCCTCTGTTTCAACCTTTCATTTCATTTCTCGTCTGTCTGTTTGAGTGACGGCATGAAAACAGAACTGCTGTCTTTGTTATCAGTGCCAACAACATGTGAAGGAAAACGAACGCCCTGTCAGTTTAACCGTTTGTTCCCAGGAAGTGTCCAAAACTCTGGTCCATTTAAAGACGAATCCAGGGGGAAGAACCGGAGGCTGACAATCCACCATTACTGCGATGGTGTCTGCTTACAACATCGACGTGGTTAAATGTTAAGAGCTAAACGATTTCAAATGGAAGCTAAAAGAAATCCTTTTCCAGCTCTTTATTCTGCGATAAGGGGAGAGATGAGGATGCTCTCCAGTCTGCAGAGAGTTTAACTCTCCTGTGATGGGCGGACTTCACCAAACAGAGGCCGAGGTCAAGGCCGCCAATAGGAGGGGAAAAGGGGAACGCTCTCTGGGGCCCCTGTGGAGGTCATCCAAAACATGCTCCATCCTACATTGAAGCTGGGATCCCCAAATTTAATTTGAACCGTTATGCCTGTAATATTAGATGATTTATTTTTATGCAGAGTCCTGCAAAGGTTGAGGAGTTAAAACCCCTCCCACTCGCTCCAGGTGAATTCTCTGGTACAACAGCTGGTTACATCCTGCTGCGTTCTCACATCAGCTCACTCTGACTTTCTGCAGAATAAGTACGAGGAGGCTGGAAGAGAAACTCCGGGTGAAGAGAGAAACATTCAGCTGTTTGTGTTCACACACAAGGATTACTACTAGTGTGAAAGATCTATTAGTCTGCGTTCTGTTTCTAACTCTGCGTCTGTGTCTCTTTGCAGAATAAGATCCTGAACAGGACGGGCTGCTGTCCTGTCTGCACTGAAAGTGAGTAAGTCTGAGTGTTCACACATCACTGAACGTTCCACCCAAAGTCTCTGAATATTTAAATATATATTTAAGCTTTTAAAGGAAATGAAAACAGAAGTGAGTCCAGCCTGTGGTCAGGAAACACGGCTGTAAATTATCCATTTCAGGACTACAAAGACTCTATAAAACACCACTCTTCAAAATCTAGCCTGTAGTCGAGCTGCTAAAGGAAACATGTGAAGCACAGCTCAGATCCTGCTTTGACTTCTGATGTGTCTGATTACTGTCTTACGTTTCCACCTTCATTCTTTACTGTCGTTTTAACTTCTGGCGGTCAGGTATCAACACGTATCCTCAGACATCCTCTGCATATATTCTGTTCTTTTGCTTTCTTGGAAAAAGAAGAAACGCATTTTTACATGTTTTTGTTTCTCTGCTGGTTTTCAGTTCTGCTTCAAACAGAAATGTTTTTCTTCTGATTCTTTTGCTTTGTCTCTCTCTCTCTCTCTCTCTCTCTCACCCTCGCTCTCTCCTTCTCAAAGTCCATGTGGTTTCCTGTGTCCCTCTGCAGAGCCGGGCGTATGCACAGTTTTTGGAGACCCTCACTACAACACGTTCGACGGCAGGACCTTTAACTTTCAGGGGACCTGTCAGTACGTACTGACTCGAGATTGTGGCGGCGCCCCCTCTGGAGGACCAGGAAATAACGTCAACAGCCAAGACTCCAGCTTCATGGTAGGACCAGAGTTTAGACTTTGGAAACTGTTTTATTTTTTGTGTTAATGAGAAGAAGACGAGACAGAAATGTTAACTTGATCTCTGTGTAGAAAACATGCTCAGCTCTTGAACCTACACTACAAGCTAACGCACGCTAGCACAAGCTAACCGCCGGTGTTTGTCACCTGCCTGTCCAACAGGAAGCAGACCAACGCCACGTCCACAGGTGAAAGACAACACAAGGTTCACCCTCGTTTTAGAACGAGCTTTATCCGCTTGGTGTTTCTCCTCACTGTGATTATATTTTCTCTTTGCTGCTACGTCCACGTCCGTCATATTCACCGGTTTGAATGGCGTCCAATCACTGTATTGTATCCACTCCTAAACTCACCTGCTGCCCTGTCATTGGCTGGAGGAAACACACCAGCTCCGCCCAAAATTCAGACACAGTCACCACCACACATGTACGGAGGCCCAGAAGGGACGATGGAGCAGCTTCACTTTAGGAGAAGTCTGTATTTTATTTTGAAGGAACCAGCCAGCTTTACTTTAGGAGAAGTCTGTATTTTATTTTGAAGGAACGAGCCAGCTTTACTTTAGGAGAAGTCTGTATTATGAACATTTATCAACTCAGACTCTGGATTGGACCAAACTGTCTCTGCATGAAGATGTCGATGTTTAATCGACTTCTTTTATCTTTACATGAAATAAACCTAAACCTGGTGGATGTTTCTCCTGTTTGAATCAAAAGCAGCATATGTGTAATATTATGTTGTTGTTCCTCCAGGTGTTGGTGAAGAACGACGCCCGGCGCACTCGCTCCTTCTCCTGGACTCAGTCTGTAGAGATCCGGCTGGGCGCTCTGGTCCTCAGTCTCCATCAGCACCTGACGGTCCGGAGGAACGGCACCCGCATCGCCCTGCCCTACCACGGCCCCGGCGTGCACATCGACCTGGACGGATACCTGCTCAAACTCACCACCATCGCAGGTCAGCCGAGACGACCTCTCTAGAGTAACACGTAGAATATTTAAACCTGAAGACCGACGTGATGGTGCAGTCTTTAAGGATTTTGATATTCCATAGAACAAGTTTCAAACTGTCAGACCTCGTTTAAATAACAGAGTGATGCCTGTTGGAGTCGTTTGATTGGCCGGTGTATTTAAATAACAGAGTGATGCCTGTTGGAGTCGTTTGATTGGCCGGTGGAATCCCAGTCTTCATCTACCTCTCATATACTTGGGCTTCTTTTTGCAGTTTATCAATGCATTGATTTATTTTATAGACTCATAAAAACAGCTGAGGGTTAAAAAACAATAAAAGTCCTTCTGTTATCTACTCACTCACTCTTTGAACTCATCTCATGGCGTCGGAGTAAACGCTACTGCAGATGAGGACGATGGATTTTAACCCTTTTGAAAAAGACTACACAGACCGGGATTCAGGATTTCTTTGCCATATTATTTATCAGACCTTTTACTACCTTACAAACCCACACGCACATCCTCGGGCAGAGGTCTCCTGGTGGTTCCAAATGTAAAATTAAAAACAAAAGGGGATATGGAACGACCTGCCTGAGGAGATCAGGTCGGCAGAATCAGTCATCTCTTTCAAGTCCCTTTTTAAGACACTTTTTCAGGCGAGCCTTTCCTGATTTTTGTTGATTTTAAATTGTCGCTATTTTCACTTTTTAGAATTCCTTTAAAATAATTGTATGTATCCCCTTTGTGTGTGTGTGTGTTATGTGAATTAGATTCTGTCATTGGTGGTGCAGTCCGTTTGTGAATCAGGCCCTCAGAAATGTTTCCTCTTTCCCCTCGCCCTTCAGGTCTGGAGATCACGTGGGACGGCGACAGTTTCGTGGAGGTCGTGGCCGCTCCTCACCTGCGTGGACGCCTCTGCGGCCTCTGTGGAAACTACAACGGCCACAAACGTGACGACACCATGGGAGGGGACGGTCAGTTCAAGTTCGACGTGGACGAGTTTGCCGAGTCGTGGCGGGTGGAGGGGAACGAGGTTTGCTCGCAGCAGCACCTGCCTCGCAGACCCGCTTCCTTCCTGTGCCCCGGCAGCGTGAAAGTCAAATTCCGCGCTCACAGAGAGTGTCAGAAGATAAAGTCCTGGGAGTTTCAGAAGTGTCACCGTGTGGTCGACTTCGCTCCTTTTTACAGGTGAGACGACCTCGTCTAAATCTGAGTTTTGTTACTTCACGTATTCTTCAGGAGTTGAGTTTATTTTGAAGGTTCAGGAGTCGAGTTGAAGAACTTGTGTTTAAGAGAGAAAGCTGAAAACAACACCTGAAGAGTTCAAATAGTAATCCGACACGACGATATCTACATTGTCTGACTGCTCATCATTATAGTGAATAGTTTCAACTGATGACGTATCTACACTCCTGCACTTTAACATATATATCTCTGATTGCACAGCCAGAAATTTGCATAGCTCTGGATAACCCCCTATAACATTTTTGCACATTTACCACTGCCATCACTGTTTTTGCAAACTTACATCTCTTACCTCCAGCAAGTATTTTTACATTCAGTTGACAAGCCTGAATAAATGTTGTATTTCATTTTTCATTTTTTTTTAATCAGTAGGAATGTTAAGCTAAATCCTTGACGTATAAATCTCTTCCTATTCTTATTTTTTATATTCTAAGTGCTTATTTATGTATCTATTCTTATATTGTTTTATTTGTTTTGATAACATGCTGCTGTAAAACCACAATTTCCCAGTTTGGGATCAATAAAGTAATTCTATTCTATTCTATTCCATTCTGTCAATAACATCCATGTGCTCTGCAGGTCGTGTGTGACGGACATGTGTGAGTGTCCCGTCCATAAAAACTGTTACTGTGAGTCGTTCATCGCCTACAGTCGAGCCTGTGAGAGGGAAGGCGTCCCTGTCGTCTGGAGGCCCGACACCGCCTGCATGGGTGAGCGACAGATCTCGATGTTTGACTACAAACTAAAACAACGTGAAAAGTCAAAGAGGAGGATAACAAACGTAACGAGGTGCAGAATTTAAAGTGGATGAGTCAGACTTGCATGGTGAGATGGATCGTGTACAACCTGAGCGAGAGCACAGCGCCCCCTGTACTTTACAGAGCTTATTGAATGATTAGTCAAAATGCCCGTCTCTGCCCGGGGAGCTTTTATTGTGAAATGCTGTTTGACCTCCATGAAGTGACTTCCTGAGCGCCGTGAGAGAGAAGACAGACACGTGTGTAATTTAGAATTTTGTAAGTCATCGTGACCTTTTAAGAACGCACATCACCTGACTTTGAAAATACATGTTTCCATGTTTTTTGATGACACTGGTGTTACGGATTAAAGAGTTATCGTGTTAACTGGTGACTTTTAGCCGAATGCATCTGTGGTTGTCATGGTTACAACAGATGTTTGAGACAGTAAGAGTCCTAATGAACGTCTCTGTTTAGTTTTTTATTGTAATGTCAAAAAATACTGATCATGTCTGTAACTATGACGACCAGCTGAGAGTCACCAGTTAACACGGTCACTCTTTAAACCGTAACACCGGTGTTTTAATTATTTTAAACCATTTTCCAAAAGGTGTGATCATTTCAGAGAAACTATCACGTGTTCAGTCTGAGATCATGAACTATTCACTGCTTTTTATCTTTTACATGTTAAATAGTTATTTGGACGACGTGTTTGCTGAAGTTTTTTTTACCTTCTTCTCTTCCTCCTGCAGCCACCCAGTGTAAACACGGCGCCGTGTACGACACCTGCGGGCCGGGCTGCACCAAAACCTGCGACAACTGGAACGAGATCGGGCCGTGTCACAAACCCTGCGTGGCGGGCTGCCACTGCCCCGCCAACCTGGTGCTGTTTCAGGGACGCTGCATCAAACCCACATCCTGCCCGGGGCGGTGACCCCTGTGATCCTGGTGGGCGGGGGGGGGGGGGTGATTGACGGTTAGGTATCAGATTTAAGGGGCCAAATGAGTCCAGAAGACTTTGGGGGTCTCAAAATGAGAGATCAGATATGAAGAGGTACTCAGGGTCTGAATCTTCACGAGGGAACGCTGCAGCGACTTCACAGAGTGGAGAGGCGGCGGAGCCTCGCCTCTTGTAATACCAATCACCATCACCAGGGGGCGTAAATCAATCTTAAATAGGAAGAGCTGAACTCCAAAGAGGAAACTCTAGAGCTCTTTTTTCTGAGGTGTTTCAGCCTCCACCACCTGAAGACGATCGTCCACTTTACCATGAACTTTCAGGGAAACTAAAGATATTTATGTGCTCGCCGTGTCGCTGTTTGAAGAGAAATGTGACTGTGTGGATAAAGTACTGTATCGTGTTCTGTACAGCGTGTTGTTGTGGTTCGTATCAAACTGAAGGTGTTTCTTTTTAGCAGATGTTTCACTTGACGATAATTATTTAAGACCAGCAATATAATCTCTAATCAAAGTTACCTTCTGACTGCTGTCTTTACTCTCTGAAGAAGAAAGCATGAACCACAGGTTGACAGGTGAGAATCATCTCCGTGAGTTTGTTTACATGTACTGTGGTCACTTCCTGTCAGCACCTGTACTCTACCTCTGGTCACTTCCTGTCAGCACCTGTGTGTCTGAAGCTGTTAGTTTGCACTCTCTGAAGTTTGCCGCTTTGGATAAAAGTGTCTGATAAGTGAATCGTAGTTTCCCTTTCTAGACCATATTGAGGATGTGGCGTTTACATGCACACAGAAGCGCTGTTCAGACCACCGTTTCAAATTTGTGATATTTACTGTGTTTCTCCGTCAGCTGCTGCAGAATTAAGAACCCCACAGTGTCTGATCAAAGTTAATGAACACATCTACACACGGATGTGACCGTTAACCTTCCTGCCGTACTTACGCTGCACCCTCAACGGGCCGCACTTCAACTCTTTGGCCTTTTCACAAAACAACACAATCACCTTCTTATTAATCCTAGACGTTAACGCTGTAAGGCATGAAATGTTTCCACGTCATGAAGATTTAGGATGAAAAAATAAAATGTTCTCTGTTTCACACAAATCTTTACAAACGATACACGAACTCTGAAACGACGAGTCCTCATTCTGAATAAAATATGAAACTAAAGCTCGTCAGATGATTTAAGCCACGTTACATAAACATTATGTAACATTGTAGAGAGCTGTCTCCCCCCCGCCCCCTTCTCTCTAGAGTCGATGCTCACGCAGGTTGCCATGTGGTGGACACTGAAGCTTCAGTGTTTATCCAGCTCTGCATCGGTCTGTAAACCTTTCTGTGTTCTAACCTCTCTCCATTTTTCAAAAGCATCTCCAATATTGATCCTAGTTTGAGCACGTTTCTGCTCGTGGAGCTTATTAGAAACATGCAGAGGCTTTTTAGGTCGGGTACAATCACTTCTATCTGAACCACTTCTCTTGCCCGCTTCCATCGCTGCAACACCTGTTGGTTTGACCTGATAACTGCTCTCAGATCTGGCAAACCGAGGGGCGTCCAAAACAGGCCATGTGGGGGGGGGGGCCTTAAAACCGCCTACCTTCTCTGGTCCAAACAAATCCAGAGCATTCAGGACCAGAATCTAAAGTTAGAAGGAGGACATACTGGCTGCTGCATTGTTGTCAGAGAAGCCAGCACTTCAACAGAGCATGTTTCCTTAATGTCTGATCATATAGTAAGGTCACTTTATCATTTCACTCACTACACATCTCACTGATTGATCCTTTAAAGAAGAAGACGAGAGGAACAGAATTCAACTTTTTATCAACAAACTTCATTACAGACATAAAACACTGAATAGATCCTGAAGAGCTTGACTGGTTCAAACCAGTTTGAAACATACTGACAGATAATAGTGTTCATGTTTCATGATCAGTGACTTGAGTTCAAACCTTTTCTGCGGAGAATGTCGAGGTAACAGTCTAAAATAATGAAAGGTTTGAAAACTTCAGTCAGGATCAGGGAGCACAGCTGCTGGTTTTCATGCTCCACTCTTTCCTTTGTGGCACCCTGAGCAGCCTCCCCCGTGGACCCGTGCAGCTTGAGCTTTGTCGTATTTAAAAGAACCGATAAAAACACAACAAAAACAACAACAACATCGTCTAGAAGCTTCTCACCGGGCTGGAGTGAGAGGACGAGGATTCCTCATCTCTCCATAAAAACAAACAGGTGACACAAGAAGGTTCAACTAGCTGCTCTAAGTTACAGAAAATATTCCTGTGCACTCGAATATATCATCTGATCATCGTACAAACCGCTCAGGGTTTCTTCTTTACAAAACAAAATATACACATCTAATCAAAAATACACTCTTAAAGTTACAGGCTGGCTAGCTTAAAGGAGAGACTCCAAATAAAATAAAAAAATACAATCAGAGAGAGAGAGGGAGAGGGAGGGAGGAGGGGGGGAATGAGAGAGAGAGGGGGGAGGGGGGAATGAGAGAGAGAGAGAGGAGGGGAGAGAGAGAGAGGAGAGAGAGAGAGAAAGAGGGAGAGAGAGAGAGAGAGGAGAGAGAGAGAAAGAGGGAGAGAGAGAGAGAGAGAGAGGGAGGGGGGAGAGAGGAGAGAGAAAGAGGAGAGAGAGAGAGAGAGAGAGAGAGAGAGGAGAGAGAGGGAGAGAGACTGACCAGCGGCGCTCAGTCGTCGTCGCTGTCGCTGCCCGACTCGCTGAGCTGGAGGTCGTTTCCTGTGAACACCAGAAGAGATTTACTCACACACTCAAAGATTTATAAGACGGCCACTAGATTCCACTTTGAGATTATTTCCCATCATGCTCTGCAAAACGCAGTTGAAATCAAGACAGGGCTTCACTCACGGAGTGTGTTCATGAGCTGGTTGTTTCCTTGTTGCCGGTCGGCTCCTCCGTTGACCACGGGGTGGCGGTTTGGGGAGGTCTGGCTGAGGGGTCGGGGGGCGTCGTGCTCGCCGTCGCTGCTGCTGTCGTCGCCGCTCCCCGAGGCGCTGGCTGAGTCAGAGGAGCTGCTGCTGCCGCTGCTGCTCATCTGCTCGATCACCTCCACCTCCGCTCGCAGCTCTGCGGACAGCAGGGGGCAGCACAGAGTCAGAGCGGTGGACATGAAGACATTCCTAACCTTTTTTATTTTATTTAACCTTTATTTAACGGACACGAGGCACAGAAAGTTTAAAGACATCGCAGGAACGCAAGGCATAGTGGCTTCTGGTTCTTTGAAGGTATGAACATAAATAAGAAGGCACCAAACCAAGAAGAGCTTTATAAATAAGCTTCAGCCAGTGGATATACCTGCGCACCTTCAAAGATGGTCAATCTGAGTTAGTGTACAGGTCACAGTGATGAGTGAAGCGTCTACAACCAGTCAAAAACCTCAACGCACAGTGATACACGGTGTCCAATGTACCCCATGTACAGTACATCTCCATAATCCAACAAAGGAAGAAAGAGTTAACATGTTTATAAACGTATCATAACACGGTTTTAGGATAAGGTCATGTCTGGACCCCCTCACCTCTCTTGATGTCATCCAGCTGAGGCTCGGGGAAGGGATTATCTTTGGAGGGGGACGGGGAGGTCTTGACCCCGGCCCCGGGCTTGGTGGGGGCCCTGAATTGAGAGCTGGGCTGGCTGGAGCGAACCGACTGCTGCTCGATGCGAGCCTGGATTTTACTGCTGCCCTCCGCCCTGAAACACACACCCAGAAACGAAGACGTAACGACTATAAGAGTCCACAGTAATGAATGAAATACCTGTGTGTGGTGTAGTAATACTCTGTGTCCAACAGAGGGAGCCAGAGATTGATTTATTTTACACCTTTGATTCAGAGTTTCTCTTCTCAGAGCGGCGGTCTCTCACCTCGTCTTCTTGACCTGGATGCTGCTGCTCAGCTTCTCCAGGACGAACTCGCCCGTGTCGTGGTTAATGATGAGCACGCAGTCCTTCTGGTACGGACGCTTGTTCCCTTTGAACACCGTCATGGGAGGCGTGGAGCCCTGCAGGGACGACGACAATCATCTGATTATGAACCGTTATGAACTCAGATTCAACGTCTGAGTGATTTCAGCGACGCTCCAGGTTTGAAAAGGCTTCAACAAATTTGATCTTTTTGTTGTAAAACCTCAGAAAATCTTAGAGGAACTTCACAGAGGCAGCCTTACTGGAATATGAGGTAACGTTATGGTGACTTCATCTCCTTTCCCGACCTGCAGCTCTCCCTCACAGCTCGTGTCGATGGACGCTGGTTTGAAGTCATCTGAGCAGAGAGGACGATATAATATCATTAATCATAAGAGACTCAAATAAAGAGCAACCCAGAGCCAACAGTCTGCACAGAGCCGACATGAAGCAAGTATTAAAAAGAACACAGATTAACAGCAGACATGTTTTATACTTCATCATTCATCTGTATACTAATAATAATAAGTTATCCTTTAATAATAATCCTGCGAGGGGAAATTCAATTTTACACTCTGTTTAATGAACATGCTACACAAACACAGGCCGAAATACAGAAATATGCAAAAAACATGATCCTATGGACATGCGTTAATGGAGAGGTCCCACAGCGAGCGCTCCAGAGCAGTTGTGGGGTTCGGTGCCTTGCTCAAGCGCACCTCGGCAGTGCTCAGGAAGTGGACTGGCACCTCTCCAGCTACCAGACGGTCCGTGTCTGGACTTGAACCAGCGACCCTCCGATTCACAACCCAAGTCCCTACAGACTGAGCTACTGCCGTCCACCAATCACAACTGCTCATTCAACGACAAACATACTTTACTCTTTCCTGTTTGTATCTTTCTGCCCTACAAAGGCAAAAGGCAGTAACTTCAATTTTTTTCAAAAGAGTTTTTGTCATTTTTGGAACATTACAGATGTACTTATTATGTGGACAGATATTTGAGTCAATTGTGTTGTTTTTTTTTTTTTTAGAAAATAGTAGTTTGTATTTGCCTTAACTTCCAAAAGCCCTCGAGAAACCAAGACAGAGTCCCAGTAACTTCACTCATCAGGGTTTTTGTACTGCAGCATTCAGGAATGCTCAAACTGAAGGTCTTCTGCCTTTGTTTTACTGCAGATCAAAGTGAAGTCACTGTTTCACTGCAGTGCAGTTAAGGTGTTTTAATGCCTTTGTTTTAATATCTTCTGACACACACAGCAGCTTGACCAAAGTGTAGCAAAGAAATAGTGTTTGGTTGAGTTATTTTAACAATGCAACCAAGTGAAATACAGCATCAAATGGAAGTTAATGCCTTGTGCCTTGGCATGACCCCGTTATTATTGTACAGGCAATGCAAAGGCAGAGTACCTTAACTTCCAAATAAAGGGTCAAAGGTCATGTTTGAGCTACAGATTTTTATGAACATTAATAACCTCATTAAAAAGACAAAGAATTGCCACATTTCCAATATTCTGCCTGCAACTCATTTTAAAAACTTTAAAGTCATTTTTCATAAATAAAGTTGGAGTAAATATTCTTCCTCTCTTTCTTGAATGCAGGTTGTGTGCATGTGTGTGTGCTCTCTAAGCTGCAGCATTAAGTTAGAGACAAACAGGCAGCTCTGTGTTTACAGGTGACGTCACGTCATCCTCAGGTTGTTGTGTAATGAACATCCTCCTCCTCCTCTTCATCACTGTAACCCTCTGACACCTGAAGGGGGGGGTGGGGGACATTTCAGTGAACACTCACATCTGATGGTGTGAAAAGAAGATTTGGGCCTCTTCTCGAAGCTTTCTCCGAGCTTTAAAACGTGCTCCTCTTTGTCCAGCAGCGGGTTGCTGCTCCCGTTCATGGCTCCTCCTGTCCGTCTGTTGGTTTTAAATCAAATAACAAATCACATTTATGTCCAATGTTCCGTTAAAGGTGTGATCTAAAAGTCTGCTCACTTCAGGGAGAGCTGAAGAAGAGACGTCAACTACTAAACAAAGTTAGCCTGCCGAAGCTAATCGTTAGCAAAACATCCCTGACGTCACTACGCCCCGCCTCTTCCGGTTCGGGCCTGACAGTCAAAGTACCACCGACAACACGAAGCGCTGCTGCTGTTTTTTTTAATAATGTATTTCGGTTGCTTATATAATATTAATGAAATTATAACGATGCGTTCATGTGATCCGCTGATGCTCGGATTATTCATATTCGGACGTTTTTCTCCATACTTCAGAAGTTTTCACTCGTAATCTTAATATTTACAGTATATGTGTATATTAGTCTATATAAGATCATTGTTACATTTTGAAAATGTGTTTTTAAGTTAAACACAAACTGTTTATACGTGTATACACTAAACCTGCACAGCTCCGTTAATTAATTTTGTGTTTTTATTTTTCATTTTAGCGTTGAAATGAAATTGAATAAAGAAGAGACTTATTTTTCCGATTATCTTGAAGCCCCCTGAACGCGATGCCAAAGTGTTACACGGAGGGATTTGAGCGACGGACACGATTGTCGTAAATGTGGGGAGAACGAACCCCTTACCTGCTGCGACTTGATGGTTGCTTGTTTTAAAACATGAGTTAGTTAATTTGAATGAAAAGTCGCTGATGTGTTTCTGTAAATTCTCCTTTAGTGACCCGAGTGACTGACGGCTGCTTTAAAGCCTCATGGCGCAGCCAGGAAACTTCAGCATCCCTGCTGGTGCTAATTTATCATCTCACGAAGAAGAAGAAGAAGTGGGACCACCAGGCGGACCGTCTCCTCTGTGTGTCCACGGTGAGACCAACACCTCCACAGCCGGAGGTCTGACGCCGGAGGGTCCGGACAGGCCGGCCGGGGAGCGGGCTCTGGTGTCCGGCTTCAAACAGCTGAAGCTGGAGAAAGACGCTCAGAAAAACTGGGACTTGTTTTATAAAAGAAACACCACAAACTTCTTCAAGGACCGACACTGGACCACCAGGGAGTTTGAAGAGCTCAGGGCCTGCAGAGAGGTGAGGGGGAGAGTCTCAGAGTTCATGTCTGTGAAGTTTCTTAATATAAATCCACTCTTTGGTGGAGGCTTAATGAAGCATCTCTCTCTTTGTGTGTCTCTCTCTTTGTGTGTCTCTCTCTTTGTGTGTCTCTCTCTTTGTGTGTCTCTGGTTTGCAGTTTGAGTCGCAGAAGCTCGTGCTGCTGGAAGCTGGATGTGGAGTCGGAAACTGCCTCTTCCCTCTGCTGGAGGACGACCTCAACATCTTTGTTTATGCCTGTGACTTCTCACCACGAGCCGTCGAATTTGTCAAAGTAAGACGTCTTCCTTCACAGAGGAGAGTTAATAAGAAGACTTTCAGTCACTGGCCACTGATTGAAAACATTCTGAGATTTTAGAGGAGAAGTCAGAGCATCTCTTTTTTAATAATGATCCAATAAGAAGAAGTTTAAATGCTTCTTTGTGTTAACAGAAAAACCCGGTGTACCGCCCCGAGCGCTGCAGTGCCTTCCAGTGCGATCTGACCAAAGATGATCTGACGGAGAACGTGCCGGAGGGCGCCGTGGATGTGGTCACTCTCCTCTTTGTGCTGTCGGCCGTCCATCCTGACAAGATGAAGCTGGCTCTGCAGAACATCAGCAGGGTGAGAGCAGACAATGCTGAACTGTTCTTTATGCGTTACATTAACGCCCACTGGACTTTAAAAATGTATCTTCCTAACATGCACTCTGTGAGTAGTTACACACAGTAAGATTTTTTCTCATAGTCCACTGCACAGCTCCTACATTGCACCTTTTGCACATTTTGTGTTTTTTATTTTATATTTTACATTTTTATTCTATTTTATATATTGTAATAGCTTCTTATACTGTATTATTTAAGTTGTTGCTAGTTCTGCTTTATTTCCTTGTTAATTGTTTAGCACCAAAGTCAAATTCCTTGTATGTGTAAATGTACTTGGCAATAAACCCTGATTCTGATTCTGATTCTGATCCTGTGTAAACTCAGCGTGGAGGTCCTTCAGTGATTGGAATGAAGTTTAAAAGATAAACATCTCATCTGCTGTTTGTAAGAATAAACACAGCTGGTTCTTCCTGCTAAAGGATCAGTAAACGTGTGTGTGTGTGTGTGTGTCTCTCTCTCAGCACGCTCTAAACTTTTATGATGTACTTGAAGGTGCTGAAGCCCGGAGGCGTCGTCCTGTTCAGGGACTACGGCCTGAACGACCACGCCATGCTCCGGTTTAAAGCCGGCAGCAAGCTGGGGGAGAACTTCTACGTCCGCCAGGATGGCACCCGGTCCTTCTTCTTCTCTAAAGGTCAGTGACGTTTGGACGGGAGACGATGTGCAGGAGCGATGAGTCAGCTGTTCTGATTATTCATGCAGCAGCGTTATGAAGCGTGAACAGCTGATCGGCTGCTGACATCACAAATATTCCTGATGTCACAGACACGTCGACCTCCTGGACGAGTTCTAAATCGTCTGCTCGCTCTTCTTTTCAGAGTTTCTGGCGGCGCTCTTCGAGGAGACGGGCTTCAGGTGTGTCACTAATGACTACGTCCTGAGAGAGACGGTCAACAAGAAGGAGGGGCTGTGCGTCCCCCGAGTCTTCCTGCAGAGCAAGTTCACCAAAGCCAGCCAATCACAGAGCGGCTGATGTCTCCTTACCATATCCACCTCCAGACATTAAAACTGAAACGTCTGATTGACACAAAACGCTGAAACCTCAGTGGAGGAGGCTCAACGCACTGCAGCGTTTGAATCCGTCACGAGGAGAAGCAGCTGGATGAATATTTAACGCTCCAGAAAATCTGTCAGACGACTTTTTAAATTTGAAAAGTTTGAACTTTAAGTTTAGGAGCGCGACGCTTCACAGGTGTGTCATGAATAAGGTGAATGAAGAGTTAACCTGTCAGTGCCTCTTTTTTAAACAAGCTCAGCCGTCTTCACGTCTGTTTATTTATATTGATGTTGTGACGCTGTCCTGATCGGTCTGGAGCTCCACACACACACACACACACACACACACACACACACACACACACACACACACACACAATGATTCTCTTCGAGCTGCAGCAGCTTCCTGTTTCATGTTCTGTGGTTAAGCCCCCCCAGCCCCCGTTTAAAAGGATGTTATGTTAACACCTGCAGGGTTACTCTGATGAGCGATATGTAGACAGAACTTCATCTACAGAGTTTGTTTTTCAAACTCTTTGCAGTCAGAACCTGAATGAAGGGATCAGAAGGATCGCTCTATGTAACATGACTGACACGAGCGCCTCACCTGACAGACTGGATGCCGACTTGAGTCTAAACAACGAGAAACCACACAGACAAGAAGCTGTGAGGTGCGCAGCTTTCATATCTATTCAGGGGCCTCACAATAAAACATTTTGAACACCTCCTCGTCTCTGAGTTCATCAGGCAGCATGGACGTGTGTGTGTGTGTGTGTATGCGTGCGTCTTCTTAATCTGCAGAGGTCAAAGGTCACCTCCTCTGTGAGTAATGAACAAGATGACAGTCAAACAAACCTTTATGAAATCTTTTATTTTGTTCTTATAAAACAAACCGGAGACTTCAGGAAGTAGAGCCCGGCGCGCTGAACACCTCACAGTCAGACGATCACTCTTGAGAGAGAAAAAGAAAAGGAGTTAGTGTTCAGTTTGAAATGTCCTCTCTCCTTTGAATCAGAGATAAACTCCTCACACATAACCCAGCTTTTGCATTCAGCTGATGAAACACAGATTGAAATAATAGGTTAAACAGTCGGGGTCATGGCGGGGGTGTGATGGGTGGTAGCGAGGTGTTGATGGCAGCAGAAGGTTCATGTGTCCACAATCTCATCGGCTGCAAGAGAGGACAGAGTCGCGGGGGGCGGGGTAGGTGTAGAAGTCAGAATAGGGGTCCACACCTCCTTTAAACTCAGGCTCTCAGGCTCTCATTGGCTACTGCGGCTGGGAACAGTGAATAGAAGCAATTGGCCTCGTTTATGTCGGTGGCGGTAAATTATCAGGATAGTGGCGGCAGATCTGAATCAATCTTTGTGGATTCTGGATTAAATCTTTCTCTGGATTTGGATCGCGGGGACTCTTGGCGATGCAGCAGGAGCGTTTTTTTTTTTTTTCCCGGGGGAGGGGTGGCTTTTATACCTTTATTTTAAAGACAGGACAGTGGATAGACTCAGAAATCAGGGAGACATAGAGCGGGGAACGACATGCAGGAAAGAAGCCACAGGTCGGATTTGAACCCAGGCTGCCCGCTTGGAGGACTACAGCCTCTGAACGTGGGTCGTGCGCACTAACCACTAGGCGGCGCCGCAGCAGGAGCCCATCTTTAAAACACAGAAGTCAGAAGAAACCATTGAGGCAGAGGTCTCAAATCCTGATATCTGCAAAGTATAAATGTTGTTTTTCTCACCTCACATATCTAATGAGAACATTTTAACCCTCAGTAAGACACACACACAGTCAGACACACACACACACAGTCAGACACACACACACACACACAGTCAGACACACACACACACACAGTCAGACACACACGCACACAGTCAGACACACACACAGTCAGACACACACACTCACAGTCAGACACACACACACACACACACAGTCAGACACACACACACAGTCAGACACACACACACACACACACAGTCAGACACACACACACAGTCAGACACACACACACACACAGTCAGACACACAGTCAGACACACACACACACACAGTCAGACACACACACAGTCAGACACACACACACACACAGTCAGACACACACACAGTCAGACACACACACACACAGTCAGACACACACACACACACACACAGTCAGACACACGCACACACAGTCAGACACACACACACACAGTCAAACACACACACAGTCAGACACACACACTCACAGTCAGACACACGCACAGTCAGACACACACACACACAGTCAGACACACACACAGTCAGACACACACACACACACAGTCAGACACACACACAGTCAGACACACACACGCAGTCACACACACACACACACACACACACACACACACACACACACACACACACACACAGAGGATATGACTCCGCCTCCTCGTCCGTACCTTTCACCTCGATCGTGATGCTCTGTCCCACTGCGCCGTCTTGACTCTTTAAACATTCAGCAGTGCAATAATAGCGCCCGTCGTCCTCTGATGTCAGGTCCAGGATCTCCGTCACCACCTGCCTGAGCCTCATGTTGCGGCCAGAGATCGTCTCGTTCACCGTGGTGAAGTACTTTCTGGGCTCCGTCATCTTGACGTCCTCCCAACACCAAACAACGTGCAGCCAGCCGCAGAGTTTGAAGTTGTAAACGGCATTGCAGGACAGTTTGACGGACGAGCCTCTGGAAGGAGTCAGCGTGGCACGTTGGTAACGGAGCTCTAAGGTGGCTAAAGCACAAAACAACGAGACGGAAATAAACTGTTATTCATCAGTTTACACTAAAACTCAGATGAGATGAAAGAACTCTTTAGTTTCCCTTCAGCATTTAAATTAACAAGCACATAGATCCAGCAGGTCACCAGCTGGTTGGTGACCTGTGTGTCTGTGTCTGTGTGTGTGTGTGTGCAGCTTCTTGAACATCAGAACTGAAAAAGAAAAGAGCTCCATGGAGACCATCTGGTGAGTGAGGACTCGGTGTATCCCTTCTTCTCATCTCACCTTCTGAAAGCAGAACCCTTTCTCTCCAAAGAGACTCAAACACGCAGCAGGGTTTTGTTGTGAATCCTCGCCTCTGACAGGAATGTTGTGAAACCCGTCCTCCACACCCTCCTCCCTCTTCAGACTATATTTGATATTCAAATTATGTTTTACTTTTACATTCACTGTGAAGCGAAATGGCACTGCAGCTAGACCCGGAGAGCCTGGGCTGTTCGGTGTGTCTGGACCTGCTGAAGGATCCTGTCACTCTCCCCTGTGGGCACACCTACTGCATGAGCTGTGTGGGACGCCGCTGGGACAAGGAGGACCCACACCACAAGTACAGCTGCCCTCTGTGCAAACAGATGTTCACACCAAGGCCTGCTGTGGTGACAAACGTCATGTTGGCTGATTTAGTGGAAGAGCTGAAGAAGAAGAAGAAACTTCAGGAAGCTCCAGCTGACTCGGTCAAACCGGGAGAGGTCGTCTGTGATGTCTGCGTGGCGAGGGCGAGGAAAGCCTTCAAGTCATGTCTGGTGTGTCGAGTTTCTTACTGTGAGCTCCACCTCCAGCCTCACTTTCAATCCCCTGCTTTTGAAAAACACAAACTGGTTGAACCCTCCAGAAACCTGCAGGAGAGGTTCTGCTCTCGTCATGATGAGGTGATGAAGATCTTCTGCTGCACCGATCAGCAGGTGATTTGTTTTTTCTGCTCTTTGGACGAACACAAAGACCACAACACGGTCTCAGCTGCAGCACATCGGAAAGACAAGTCCAAGGAGCTCGAGCTGAACCTTCAAAATATCCGACAAAGAATCCAGGGCAGAGAGAAAGATGTGAAGCTGCTCCAACAGGAAGAAGAGGCCATCAGTCACTCTGCAGATCGAGCAGTGAGGGACAGTGAGGAGAGTTTCTCTGGGTTTGTCCGTCTCATTGAGAGAAGAATATCTGAGGTGAAAGAGCGAATCAGATCTCAGCAGGAAGAGGAAATCAGTCGAGTCAAAGAGCTGGAGGAGAAGTTGCAGTTAGAGCTCTCTGAACTGAAGCTGAAGGACGCTGAGCTCCAGCAGCTCTTAGACTCTGATGACCACATCCAACTTCTTCTTGATTCCTCTTCGCTGTCGCTCGTCACTGAATCTACATCGGTGCTCAGCGTGTGTGTTAAACCTCTACGACACTTTGAAGATCTGACAGCAGCTGTTTCAAACACCCGGGATAAACTACAGAACGTTCTCCATGAGGAGTGGCCGACCGTCTTACGGAAAGTGATTGAGGTGGATGTTTTACTGCCGCGACCAGAACCCAGAAGCAGAGAGGGGTTCTTCCAGTACTCCCGTCAGATCACTCTGGATCCAAACACAGTCAACACATGGCTGCAGTTATCTGACGGGAACCGAAGAGCAACAGTAACGAAAGGAAAGCAGACATATTCCAGTCACCCAGAGAGATTCACAGACTGGCTGCAGGTCCTCAGCAGAGAGGGTCTGACTGGGCGTTGTTACTGGGAGGTGGAGAGGAGCAGTGGAGTGTCGGTGGCTGTAGCATATAAGGACAGCAGCAGATCAGGACAGGACAGTGGGTTTGGAAACAACGACAGGTCTTGGTCTCTGGGATGCTTTGACTTATCTTTTCATTTCAGACATAAAAATGTGAAAACGTTACTCTCAGGTCCGGCGTCCTGCAGGATAGGGGTGTACTTGGATCACACGGCAGGAACCTTGTCTTTTTACAGCGTCTCTGACACCATGACCCTGCTTCACAGAGTCCAGACCACGTTCACTCAGCCACTCCATGCTGGACTTTCAGTCTACTGGGTCGGAGACACTGCTGAGCTGTGTGAGCTGAAGTAGAGATCGCACCGCCTCCGTTCACTGTGGACTATCAGCTGGGAGTCCTGAGAGTCCACATTTTAACCCTCAGGCATCAGTTTAATTTACTACCCTCTTAAGTCACTAACGACAAAAATATTTTTTTCTACTTTTTTTGCATACATCTCTTAAACAATTTCAGCCCTGCTCAAAACTACTACTTTTAGGAATTTAACCCTTTAAATGCCAGTTTGATTACTTGATGTCAGTGTTGTTATTTAAGAAAAAACACAAAAATTAGTTTATTATTAAAATTAGTTATTTTACATATAACAAATATTTGGTGGCTGGGGGATTTTTTTCAAATCAGTTTTGGATATGTCAAAGATTATCCAAAATATTGACTTTGATGCATTGTTAGTTTTTGTGTAGCATCAGATTTAAAATGTAGTTCCCTGTTTGGACATTGGAGAGCGAAAATGTCCAATTTACGAAAACTGCTATAAAAATAGAACAGATTGATATTTCTTTCTACTTTTTTTGCATAAATCTCTTAAACAACTTCAGCCCTGCTCAAAACTATCAAATATTGAATAATTATCAGGAATCTAACCCTTTAAATGCCAGTTTGATTACATGATTCTGATTACATGTGCATTCCAAAATTTGTCAAGAGAGAGTCTTTTTTACAAAAAAATGGTGCCATATGCACTTACAGACAAAATGATGGCCAAATGATGGAGTTAAAATTTGACCAAATGGACAAAAATGTCCATAGTGATGCAAGAGGGTTAAACAAACAGAACTCGGGAGTCCACCATTGTTGTTGTAATCCACCTCCTCTGACTAGAATCTTAACGACTTGTGAAACTTGTGTGTTTTCTGTAGTTTGCATGCTCGAAGCAGTTTTTAAAACTTTCCTTTTTTAGTCATCTCAAACACCGTTGTGGTGTCCCATCTGGGGTCATTTAAACTCTAAAACCGTTCTTAAAGAGGACTTGTACTCTTGTATGACCGTGTTCTTTGTCTTACTAGATTATGGTTTATATTCTGTTCTTTGTTGTGCTTGTTTGGTTCGGCTCTGTGCATCTGTTGTTGAGTTTTATGTATTTAAAGGCTCATCGTCTATGAACGCTGTGGTGAGTGCTAACAGTTTACTTTTCCATACTTTTTTAAATAAAATGAAATGGATTCTCCTCGGCCACAGAGTGAAATCTGCAAAGAGGTGAAATGACAGCACGACACTCTGACATCATAGATGAGAGATTCTTGATTGAAAGGGAAATGTGGTCACAGATCTGTATTCATAGATCTGTATTCAAAGAGCTGTATTCATAGAGCTGCATTCATAGATCTGTATTCATAGAGCTGTAATACCGACATGAATCAATAAATGAGCAAAGTGAAGTGTCACCTCCACTTACCTGTGATGTTGTGTTGTTGTGTTGTTTTTGTGTTTGTTGTTGTGTTGTTGTTGTTGTGTTGTTGTTGTTGTTGTTGTTGTTGTGTTTGTTGTGTTGTTGTTGTGTTGTTGTTGTGTTTGTTTTGTTGTTGTTGTTGTGTTGTTGCTGTGTTTGTTGTGTTGTTGTTGTGTTTGTTGTGTTGTTGTTGTGTTGTTGTTGTGTTTGTTTTGTTGATGTTGTGTTGTTGCTGTGTTTGTTGTGTTGTTGTTGTGTTTGTTGTTTTTGTTGCATTGGTGATAATGAATAGAAAGTAGTGGTGAAAGCTGCAGTTGGAGGATGTTAGAACTTTCTACAGTCCATCCCTGCATCAGCTGCTCATGACAGACACAGACTCATCTCCCTCCATCTTTATAGATGACTCTCTGATTTACCTGACAAGAAAAGATGACAGCTCTATTAAACCTATGCTGGAATGTCTTAGGGCTGCTGTACATCCTACAATTGTATAAAAGTCGTGGTGGATTGTAAGCTCACGCTGTGCGACAAAAACATACGCCCAAAGCTCAGGATGTATGTGCTCACACTGTTTGTGTTCATAACTGTCCATGAAGTTATCTTTGAAAGCTCCCACAGGCTGAAGTTGAATCAGATATATATGTGTGTTGACTGTTGTCTCTCAGCAGCATCACAGATAACAACAAGCTAGCTAGCAGACACCATCAGGAAAAAGGCCTGAGGTCGAGGAATCGGCTCGGGGCTCTCACTGTGTGCAGTCGTACGATCAAATCTTCAGACATGCCAGAAACTCATCAACTGGTCAGGAGCCACTGAACGGGACATGATAGCTGAGATTAGCCCTACTTCAAAATCTGTGGTGCGTCTCTAAAATGGGGTCAGAGTGGGCCTGGCATAGCACAGTGTATGTCGGGCTTCACTCTGCAAACAGCTTTTGAATTTTTTTTTTTTTTTAACGGCTTCATGTTCAGACTTTTCTTTAGCTCCTCCTTCAAGCTGTTCTATAATCTGACTCCTCGTGTGCACCAAACATCAGGAAATACAAAAACTGCTCAGGGTCGTACGCAGTAGGATTTTTATTTATTTCAACATTATTTGTGCCGATAGAATTCCACAAGATCACTACATTTAAATATTGATCTATAATGAGCTTTGTATCGCTTCAGTCAGACAGAATGTAGACTTCAACTATTCACATTTAAATAACTTATATACACAAGTTTTACTCTTTATTAGGAGTTAGCATCCCTCTGTGCTCTGATAAACACTCAAACAGTTCTGCAGAGAACATTTGTTGCAGATTTCTTTTTTACCATCTGTGATATCTAACGTGTTCACTAACCTTTGTCCTCTGCATTTGAGACGCACAAAATGACCAACAGCAGCACTGATCCAGCAAACCAAGTCATTCTTTACACAAACGTTAACGCTGAGGAGGAATGAGGAGACAGCTCCTTTAGTCCTAAATGAGAGTAAAGACACTCAGATCGGACTCCACAGCTGCTGAGACGCAGGGTGAGCTCGTGTGTCTGCTGTGGTGGGCTGTGCTGTGGTTGGAGGATACGTATTTACAGTTCTGTTTCCATTTCCTCTGACCAACAAACACTTCACACTTTGTTCTGATCTGTGACACTTTGACTTTAAATTACATGGGTGTAGAAATGGAGGTGTGTGGGGGAGGGGGTTTGCAAGCAGCAACCTCCGATGTTGAAAAATGAAGCTGATGCTGAAGTGCAAAATTCTGCAGATCCTCGAGTGTCCTTAGGTTGACTGAAAGTTAGACTGAGACAGCATTTCCAGCATGGAGACCTCCACTGTATTTAATGCGTCACTGTGTTGTGTGTGTTTGTTTTTATTGGGTGTAAGTTGCACATAGATTGTGTTTTCTCTTCACCTTGGCCAGGGGCTCATATCCCCTCAGTGATATTAAACTTAAACTAGAATTACATTTAGTAAAATATCTGACAAAATGCCCTCAGTTGGTCATTCACCTTCCTGATTATCATCGGGGAACTGTCCCCTTGACCCTTGATGCAAGTACTCTCACTTTTTATGGAAGTGAGAGTTGTTTTCTTTGGAAACAGGGTTTTGTTTTTCGCTCTCTGTTAAAGCTGTGGGAGTCGGCAAATATGTTGTCATCTGTGAGTCATTGCAATGGGTGCAGTAGTGTGTGTGTGTGTGTGTGTGTGTGTGTGTGTGTGTGTGTGTGTGTGTGTGGGGGGGGGGGGGGTACTAATGCACCAGAATTTCAACTTTGATATGACTCTAGTAAAAGTCTAACCCTAACCCAAATCTAACGATATCAATACCACAGAAATAAAAATAGAAATCCTACGGCCCCAAAACATTTGGTGATCTCTTCAGATTAAAATAAGTTGGAGGGAAACTTCTTCACACTGTTATTAAAAGTTTAAAAACATTTCCGACTTCAGGTTTTTATGTGTTGGGTGTTTGCAACATTGGGAATCATTTTAGATATTGGCAAGTTTGGATTTCTGTCAAACATTGCAGCAGCACCAGATCTCTGGAGCGATTTACCTCCACATGTTGGTCTGTCTCCACACTTCCTGTTTTCTAAATCTAACCTTAAAACACGTTTATAGCTTTTGGCTCTGCCTGAGAGTTTTTGTGTTAATTCCTATAATCCCAATTTGTCTCAATAGTCCTTTTTTTATGTCCTGTTGTTTTCATGGTCTGTGATTTATTGAGTTTTTATTTTTGATTGTGTAACACTTTTTAAAATGAGCTTCATGAATGCGTTGGGATTCAATTGGATTAGCCGGTTGGGAGGTGCCAATGTTTTGTGCGGAGTAATTCCCCTCCTACTTTCCTGTCTGATAAATAAATGTAGTTTCTTTAAAGCTTCAGGACTTTGAGTGGATCATTAAAAAAACAGGTCGCAGCATTTTAATATGTGTGCTGTCTAAAAGTGTTAAAGGAGTCAGATGTTGTCGACCTGAATGTAAATCTTTTAACAGCTCGTTGGTGTCATGGAGGTGTGGTTATAGTCATATCTCAGGCTGTGGAGGAGGGGCCTAATGTGAGACCTGTTCATGGAGACGCTCCTGCATACTTTGATCATTGTGGGGTCATTACATCTATAATGTTAATAAAAGTAGCGCCTCACTTTACTGTTCAAAACTGTGAATTATTGACTAGTTTAAGTTGAAATACCAGCATGTGTGTGTTGTCAGTCAGTCTAACTCGTTCTTAGTGGTCGGTGACCATGTGACGGAGCTGCATTGCATCATCATCATCTGATGGCGTTAAAGGGGAAAAAGACTTCAGAGTCAGACAGCGGAGAGGGAGCTGGAGGTGAAGAAGCTAAAAGAAAACTGCTGTTCAGGTCAGAATGTCTCTGTTTCCAACTTTTTTTTTTTGGAGCCAGAATTCAGATTTTTACTCAGAATTCTGGCTCCGAAAAAAAAAGTCAGAATTAAAAAAAAAAAAAATCAGAACCAAAAAATCTTGTTCCAGGGGGCCCTAATCCTCTTCCGTACAGGTGTGACACAGTTTTTATTTAAGGAATGAGTCATGACCGTATTTCATCTTTCTGTGGCGCAGTCCTCCTGAAATGATCTAAATATTTTCATTTTCTTTATTGTCTCATCATATTTCTTAACA